GTTCAGGACAATGCTATAAAACATCTACCATTTCTTGACCACTCAGAGTGAGACAGGCCCTGTTCTAAGCATTTGGCGTGGAGCTAAGTCATTTCATTCTCACAGAGAATGTCTCACGGCTGACTGAGGTTCACTTAGAGGAAGTGACTTGCCCTAGGTCACACACCTGTAAGTAGCTATATCAGAACTTGAACTCAGGCAAACTGGCTCCAAAGTCCCTGCTTTAACCACTTTCCTCTGAACCTTCCAAGCCCAGGCGACTGACATAAACCAGGGGCATGTACACAGGCTTGAGAACCAGTCCCCTTTGCCATTTCTAGCCATGTGGCCTGGCCAGACCGCCTGGGTGAGCTCAGCTTCCCGGGGATAATGTTAGTACCCAAATCCAGGATAAAGGCAAGGATTACTAATAACATAGTTTGGGATCTAGAGCTCAGTAAGTCCTCTAAATTATGAAACTAACATATGCACATGGCAAAATAAAATAGTTCAGAAGTGGACACAGTAAAAATGAGTTCCCCCTTCTATTTCACACCTTTAACTCCTCTCACCAGAGGTAACCACCATGAATATCTTTTGCGCCAAGTTTTGGAAATCTTCCATGCACATAACGACAGAGAAGCTGGATAGGACACTGGTGAAGGACATGGCCTGCCTGGTCCGAATCCTGGCTCCTCGGCTTGCTAGCTGTGTGAGGCTGCCTTTTGCTATCACAGACGATCCTGCAAGACACATCCTGTTCACCTGTCATTTGGCACGAGTGTGAGAATCTCTGCAGGATAAATTCCTGGCAGAGAAATTGCTGGGTCAAACAGTAGTACCCTTGTAATTTCAATTAATTTTTGGATGAGCAAATTCTCACAGCAGGCAAGGGGAAGGGAAAGAAGTCCACATAGCAGTGAGGATGAGGGAGGAGAGAGATGCGACATTCTGACTCTGAGGTCCAGGGAGGGCCATGTCTGCTACAGCAACCTGGAGGATGTAGCAGCTCCCCAGGCCCCTGGCCAGGAGATGGAGGGTTTAATTTTATCCAGATTGTCCCCATAAAGGCTTTACAGGGAATTGGCTGATTGGATTAGAAGAGCAGGAGCCCTAATGAGCAGCGGCTGCTTAACAAAATGCTAAAGCAGACACGATTTTCCTTTGCCACCGTCCGCCACGGCAGCATCTGGGCTCTGATACGGACCCCCTAGATGCCGAAGACACCTCAGAATGGCACCCCGATTGGTTTGCCTTTTTGGAACATCCTTCTCGGTCCCAGACATCCCAGAAAATGGAGAGCATGGAGTTAAGAGCACAGGTTTTGGGGTGAGACAAGAGGTCTTTTGCAGACTGAAATTATGGTGTGACCTTGGGCAAGTCATGTCCCTCCCTGAGACTGGTCCTCATGGGGTGGATGTAAGGAATGAAAAAAGTCAAACACGTAAAGTGCTTAGTTCACTGCCTGGCACATAGTAAGAGCCTAATGAATGGTAGCCCGTTAGATAAAGATAAAGAATAAAGGCAGCTACTCTGGATGCCCCCTCCCCCAGAAGGCCTGAAACAAGGTGAACAGTTTGTACCTTCCCACCCGCCTCTTACCAGAGCATGTCAGTAGTTACCTCCACCACCTCTTAGGGAATGTTCCAGATTTCCTAGTCTGTAAAATGGGCTGTGTGATTTATGTTTTCAAGTAAGTATTAAAGGCCTTGCCAGAATTAATATTCGGTTTTGTGTCTGATCCAAAAGCACAAATTGAGCGTGGGAACCCTCAGATGGGAAGAAGCGGAAGCGCTCAAAGGCGGTTCCCTAAGCCCCCTCCCTCATCCCCTATTAATCTGATTTGGGACCTTCCTCTGAGAGTCCCAGGAATAACCAAAGCGAGAAGTACCCCATGGATCCAGGCAGTACCTGATGCGGTTAAGCGCACAGGCTCGGGGTCAGAGAGATCACTGTTAGCCTCTTCCTGCGTGAGTCTGTGCCTGTGCGAGTTCTCCCAGTTTCAGTCCCCTTACTCACCTGTAAAGTGCGGGTAATAATGGCTCTGGGGCCCGTCTGGGAGAGAACCGAGGGGACTGACGGCCCGCGCCCGCCCGGCGTCCCGGGGACGCGCACGGCTGGGGCACACACCGGTCACCGCCGAGCGGATGCCGCCGCGCGGCAGGAGGCCGCCGCCCTCCACGCCTCCGCGGGCAGATTCCCCCGCGGCCTCCCGCGCCGCGCTGCGGGGACCGGGGTGATTGCAAACAGCCGCCGGCCTCATTAGGAGACGTGTAATTAGCGTCTGGCGGAACCGGAGCCGGCACTGGCTAATTACCGCAGGGAGCCGGCTGCGCTGACGGCGCCGCCGACGCCGCCCGCCCCGGCCGCCGGGCCCGCGGGGCTACAGCCCGCGTCCTCATCCTCTTGGGGCCGGCAGGAGGCCCGGCCTGGTCAGAGGAGGGGCTCCAGGACCTCCCCAGTGAGCTGTCCTCCAGGGGCTGTGCCTGGGAGGAGGAGGAGATCATTCGTTCAAAACAGTTTAAAAAGGACTCAGGGACAGGGACAGCAGTGTGGTGATTGCAGGGTAAGGGGGGTAGTGGGGTATGTATACTATAAGATGGACAAATGGTAATGGAGAAAATGCGATAAAAATAAATTTTTTAAAAACATATTTTTTGCAAGCCCTATGCCAGAAAAATAAAAATAACAAAACAGAGTTTACTCACTGTGCCAGGCGTTTTGCCCACAATAACTCGTTTAAAGCTTACATCCACCCAGGAGGGCGGACCCATTACTTCCCTAGAGCACAGATGAGGAAACTGAGATCTACAGACATGAATTAACCTCCCCAACAGTATGTGGCTGTGCAGTTGCAAGACGGGATTCGAACCTACGTCTGTCCATTTTACACGAAGTGGACAAGCGAAACCCTGCACAAGGTGTCCGCCTGTGGATAAGAGCAAGGACCCTGGAGGCAAATGGCTTTGGATTGGAATTCTGCTCCTGCTTCTTACTAGATGTGTGAATTTGATCTGAACCCCAACTGCATCCCATAAAATGTTGGGATTAAGAGAGTTGAAGGCTAGGAAGTATTAAGGGCGTTATTTTAGCGACGGGAAGAAGGAACTCTGGGGCCGCCTTTCTCTACGCACTACGGGCCTCTGACGCCCCCTGCTGGCGAAAGCGGGACTCTGGTGAGACCTCCCTCCCTCCCTCCCTCCCTCCCTTTTTTTAAAAGATAATGAGGTGGTTCTTGAATGAGAAGAAAAAGCAGGCACTGTTTCATCAGCAAGGCCACAGTTCTTTTGCCTCCCCTCAGCCTCCTCTTTCTTCCTCATTATCCCTCCTTTAAGGTGGTGAAAAGTAAGAGATGGGAAAATTGAGGACGCATTGCAGATCTTGCAAGTAATCAGTTGTGAAACCTGCCTCCCTTTATGGACCTCACAGGGCCAGCCAGGTTCTTGACAGTTCCAATAATAGTCAGGGATAGGCATAACGACCTAGTCGCAAGAATGTGCATCCAAGTGTTGGGTATAACAAGAAAATCTGGAACTAATTTAAACGTCCATCATGAAAATATTGACCAGTTTAACAGTGGTACATCCAAAGGATACAATACTGTGTAGCTGAAAGATAACGTTGCTAAACATTTGAGATGAAAATATAGTCTAACAAGGAGAATGAATTTTACAGACATTGGGTTGAGTGAAAGGAGACAGACACACACCCAAAAACATACTGTCAGGTAGTCATCTAAAGTTCAAGAACAGGCCAAACTAATCTTTCACAACAGAACTCAGAATGGAGGCTACTTCTGGAAAGGATTTTGACTGGGAAGAGGGCATGGGACCCTTCTTGGTTGCTGGAAATGTTCTCTTAATCTGGGCAGTGGTTATACAAGTCTATACATAGGTAAAAATTCATTGAGTTGTATACCTATGTGCACTTTATGTATGTTATATCTCAATAAGACAGTTTTTCAAGCAGCAAAAAGGAGTACTAAACAGTATGATTCTGTTCTTAAAAAGAAAATAAAAGAAAAATATAACAACATAGGGGAGCAGTTCTCATCTCAAACTTTTTTCATCGATTCAGGGCCCCTTTATATTCAATTTATTGAGGATTCCAAAGAGCATTTGTTTTTGTGGGATGTATAAGTACTTATCATGGATCTTAGAACAGAAATATTTAAAAACACAATACACAATTGCATTAGCTGTTAGAGTGATAATACCAGCACAAGTTATGTACCCTCTGGAAAACTTTACTGTCCGATGTGAGAGAGTAAAAAAGGCAAATAACATCTTACTGTTCTCATGAAAGTAATTTTGACCTTAGTCTTGGAAAACCCAGTGGTCCCTGCATCTCACTTTGAGAACCGCTGGCAAACGAAGGAAATAATGGGGAAAATACACCATATGATAAATTATTCTCTCTCAGTGATAGGGTTATAACTTATTTTTATTTGCTTCTTTGTGCTTCTCAGTTTAAAAACTGGAAAATATAACGACCACAGATTGTTTTCGCAAATTAAAATACGAGACAACACACCCGCCTCCGTAAGATTGCTAAAAAGCCCAAATGATAACAACATATTTGGCTGTACAGAAAGAGGAAACCGAGCCCTAATCTGAAAGTAAGGGTTCGATTTCCTGGGTCAGTCTCTGGCCTGTAAATGCAAGAGTTCCATCGCCCAGGTTTAGGGAGAGAATATAAGTGCATATACAACTGTATTGCAATGTAATAGAAAGTAAACGTCCCGAGGGCCCCACGTGCAGCAGTTGCATCCTACACAGTATTCCAGACTCTGGCGTGGAGCAGACGTACCCATCAAAGCCTCAAACCGCTCCAACGCTGAGTCTAACACTGAATCAGCCACATCAGCTTGGAACTCGGCAGTACGCTTGCGCTCTGCAGGCGCAAACGGACGCGGGGCTTGATGGAGACTGACACTGGGCTCAGCCTCTCAACTTTGTGGCTCCGCCTTCCTATCCTGCATTCCCTCTGTGAGTGGCTGCAAGACTACAGAGGCTACCACAGTTTGTGCGTAGGGACGCCCGGGGCGGAAGTCGCCATGGTGCGGTTCAAGCACAGGTCAGCATCCCCTCAACGCCTTTCCTGTCCCCTGCCCGCGGCCCTGGCACTGCGCTTACCACCCTCTCGCCCGCCGCAGGTACCTACTCTGCGAAGTGGTGTCGGACGATCCCCGCTGCCGCCTGAGTCTGGATGACCGAATACTGGGCGGCCTCGTGCGGGACACGATTGCCCGCGTGCACGGGACCTTTGGCGCAGCCACCTGCTCCCTCGGCTTTGCAGGTGCGAGGGTGCTGGGGAGCCGCGCCGACGGGGCGGGGGAAAGGGAGAGGGGTGCCTTGCAGAGATTGGGGTCCAGAAGAGGGAGAAAGACAGGGCACAAGCATCCCAGGGAGCTGCCAAGCCTGATGCACCATGTACAAAGTTAGGCAAAGAGCTAAAAGCATAAGGCAATGGAACTTGGGGCAAGAATCCCCTGTACCTATTTGACGTGTATATATTGAGGATTGAGATTGAATTTAATAGGATGGTCAGACTCAAATGAATGTAGATGTGTATAGTTCCTATTAGGTTAGGTGACTGGTTTACATTGGTATCTCATGGGGGGGGGGGGGGGGGGGGGATCCTGAAAAGCCCTTAATAGGACCTGTGAAGTACAGAACAGTTGTAAAGGGGAACAGGGCCCTCTTGACAGCCACGCAAATCTAAATTGGCTCCTTTTTACCATACGCTCCACATGGAATCCTGGATTACATGCACATAGGCACAATTCTACATGTTACAATAATCTACAGAACCTAGCTGCAGAACCACCTTTCAGCCAAGGGTTTTCTTCTGAGGAAAATAGGTCTCTGCCTCCCCACCCCGTTTAACAAGTCAGTGAATTAGAACATTTAAAATTCTGAGTTCAGCCCTGGCTGGTGTGGCTCAGTGGGTTGAGTGCCGGCCTGAGAACTGAAAGGTCGCTGGTTCAATCCCCAGTCAGGGCACATGCCTGGGTTGCAGAACAGGTCCCCAGTACGGGCTTTGTCAGAGGCATCTAATCGATGTTTCTCTCCCTTCTTCTAAATAAATGTATCTAGAAGTCTGAGTTCGTTCATCAGCTCTGAGTGGTGTGCAAGGCCCTATATATCCTCCTTTCCCCCTTTCCTAAATGGTCTGTCCCAAGATATTTCTCCTTCAGGAATGTTTTTACTCGATGTGTCCCAAGTGCCACTGCCTTGAAGAGTCTCTGGCACATAGTAGGCTGTTACCGCTAAGATTTTTAACCTGCTTCTGAGAATCCAGTTTCCCAAAATTTTTTTCCCCTGCTGTAGTGCGATACCTCAATGCCTACACTGGAATAGTGCTACTTCGATGCCGAAAGGAATTCTACCAACTTGTGTGGTCTGCTCTTCCCTTCATCACATACTTGGAGAACAAAGGACACCGTTACCCGTGTTTTCTCAACACCTTACATGTGGGAGGTAGGGGTGCATGTGGTATGGTTGATTTTCAATAGGTAACAGGTTCAGAGTTGAGTCATGACAGGTGGGTGGGTCATCCTGTCCTACCAAGAACAAGACGCTTCCCCTGGCTCTGAAAGTCTTTGAGGCAGACACCTTTTACAAGCTGTTGACCATAAAGCTCTTTCATGTGCCAGGTACAATTAGAACATGTCAGAAGTTCCTGATTCAGTACAACAGGAGACAGCTGTTGATCTTGTTGCAGAACTGCACTGATGAAGGTGAGCGACACCAACCCAGTGTCCACTGAGCAGCGGCTGGCCTTCAGCTAAGAGGTCCCACCGTCAAAAACACCTTTCATCCCCTGCTCTGCTTTCCTCCAGGAGAGCGGGAAGCCATCCAGAAGTCTGTCACAAGAAGCTGTTTACTGGAGGAAGAGTCGGGTGAGGAGGAGCTTTCAGACGACGGTGGCGATGAGGTGGCTGAAGGGATGCAGTAAACCTCTGTAGGCTGCACGGTGCCCAGGCCTCAGGGCCCACTTGCTGGAGCAGGACATTCTGGGAGCAGCAGGATCTCCTACATTTCTAGGAGCTGCTTTCTCCAGCATAAAATGGACATCATTCAAAGTTCTAACACATTCGATACATGTTTAACTTTTGCTTCAGTGTGCCTCTCCTTCAGGCTGGAACACCCTCATCCCCAGAGTTCCTGACCCAGGATTTCTAAACTGCTTCCTTTTAAGAATGACAGGTTAAAGCCGACCTCACGAACCCTTTTCATTCAGACTTGACACTAGCAAAGACATTACTGCACAGCAGCGGAACTGCTCAAGCTCATAGTAGTTACTGTAACCTATTTTATAAGTATGTCTAGCAGACCTGAACTGAACTTTAATAAAACAGAAAGCTCACATTGCTTGTGCAGGTAATTTATTTCAACTGGTTGCCTTCATCCTAGTACACCTAAAGGTTACTTTATTAAGCAGCAAAAGAATTCACATCACTCAAATTGAGCTCAAACCAAGGCGTAAGACTAGACAATAGGGAGGCAGTGGCAACCCCACTGCTTCCCAGCGTGCCCTGCTCTGCCTCCAGGTGCGCTGAGCTCCTCTGTTCCCGCAACTCAGGGCGCTGTCACTTGAAACAAGTTTGATTTAAAGGTTGGCATGTCCCACGGCTTCCTTAGTGACAGTTACACCTTCCCTTGCCAAACAGCAGCCACGTGCACTAGACAAAACCCTCAATCACACATGCAAGTGCAACCCAGGTCTGGCCCCACAGCCTGGCCATGTCAGACGAAAAGCTGCAATTCAAGCAGGGTAGCCGAAATCCATTTTATTCCCATCCCTCTGTTTCCTTAAAAGAACTGAACAGATAGAAAAGATTCAACTATTTTTAGAAGACACACTGATAGGTGTGTGGAAACCATGATGCCCTGACACCTGATGTCAGAGCAAAGCAGCGCTGCTTAACGCTCTGGCTTGGGATGTTAAGGGACTCAAACTCATTAGGGGTTGTGAAAAATAATTACGCGTGGGCCAAAAAGACTAACCTGGCAACAAACTAATAACCTTGGCAGGAAGAGATCTCTTGTGAGTGTCAATACTTTATTTTGGTGTAAAGACGGGAAGCTGGAAAATACACTGTATTTAAAATCATCTTGGTTCCCCCTCACGTTGTGGAAACCCCCTCCCCCCCAACCCCAGAGCTAATCTGTTCAAACTCAAATACTTAAAAATTACAGCAGCAAAACAGAAGCACGGAAAAAAGAAAACCAAATGGAGAAGGTAGCCTTGGCCAGTAGTGTCACTTGGTGTGGACGACTGAGGTGCTGAACAGAAGCTTCTGTTTCTGTTTTTTTCTTTTCTTTCCTCCTTTCTCTTCTAAATGGAAACAAAAAGAGAGCTTAGCTCAGAATGCCATTCCCTTGTTCCCTGGCCAGTCTCCATCCCTGAGAATGAGAATGGCAGCTAAGAATGCAGGCCCTGGAACCAATACCTGTATCCAAACACCAGTCCTTGTACACATTCGGTGTTTGTCTTAGGGCAAGTCACAGACTCCATCTCCCTAGATCTGTCTCCTCATGTGTAACATGAGTTATACCCATTTGATAGGGCTAATGGAAGAATAAAATCAGCCTGGGCCAGGCACACCACAAATGTGTTATTCTTCTCTGATCACAAATACCACAGACTGGGAGCGGGCTTTGAGCCTAATTTCTGCATGTTTTACTCTCCTTTTACCAACTCAGGATTCCAAATCTACTCTCCACTACTGCGTCTCAGACGGCGGGGTGAGGCAGTAAGAGTTCCTCGGATTTTCACATCCAATGCCTCAAGGATTAGTCTGAGGTGGCAGTAAGTTCCTACGTGACATACCAAATGGAATGTTAAGTTGACACTAAAAATGTGGGCCTTAAGGCTCAGGGAAAAGTGCCTGACTAGTGGTGCCTGCCGCCAGATGCAGGTGGCACCCCAGTTCTTTGCCTTTACCAGAGAGGGCATCCGAAGTAGCTGGCGTGTCCAGTTTCATGAAGGCTGCTTCAATAGCTTGGCTGAAAGAATTTTGGAAACTGGGCACGGGAACGCGGTCCGAGTTATCACTCTCCCCATCGCTGTCCACAGTGGCAGGAAGGACTAAGCTGTTTTCATCTAAAAAATACCAGTGTTACAACTCCAGAGACTTATACTTTCTGCAAGGGGCCAAACACCCCCTGCCCCTTTACCAGGAGGGCCAGGCTTACCTTTCGTTGGAGCAGTTTTGGGCCACACATCTGCTTTTGCTTTTCCAACTCTCAGCATCTGCCGGGGTGGGAAAGGGGGGAAAAAGAAATCTAATGATTTGTTAAATAACGAGAACTCTGGTTCTCCCTCAACTGCTCTTGGCCTTCCCCCTCCTCAGTACATCTATGGTAATGTGAGACTAAATCCGTAAGCTTCCCTCTTAAAAGCTTTCCACGATTATTAGAATCAGTGAAATATTAGCCTGTAAGTCTCCCCTTCTCCAATAGAGGGACTTCCAGAAAGAACAAGAAGCAGTGTTCATATTCAATACCCTTGGGCTGTTTCACAGGCAAAGGATTTACCTGGGCAAAAGAAGGGAAGGGAGAATCTTCTTCCAGACTCCCAATGCAGAATGAAGGGCTGCCCTGACTGGCAGTGGGTGACACAGGTGTCAGCAGAAAGTCTGAAAGGGAACCAGAGACCTGATTATGTAAGTCAAGTTCCAAAGAGGTGCGAACCCTGAATCAGGTGTGGATAATTACCAATCTCACCTCAGAAAGCAAACCTTGATCCAATTTCAACTCTGCCTATTCTCAAAAAGCCAAGAACGTGGCCTAGTCATACCTGTGATCACTATATAGAGAAAAGTGTAGTGTTTACAGTAACACTAAAAGGTATGGCAGAATCTATTCCCACAGTAAGAAAAGCGCTTTCCACATCAGCTGGCTCTCAGGACCTAGGTTTGGACTGTTCTGAACTGGTTTGATATAGATGAGAAAGCTCGAAATAAAAGATAAAAAATTTAATCATGTCAGCCTTTATGCTCCAGCCAGCAGATGTCCATGACTTAGGAATATTCAGTTAGAATCTCTCTCTCACTCACTCTCACCGCCCCCCCCACCCGCCGCCCTCCCTGCCAAAAATCCAGAGTGAAGATGCAAGCTTTTCCTAGGGAATAGTCTTCCCCATCCTTTCTGACCTTAGTTCCCCACAGATCAGGTCCACCCACTGTCTCGGTCACTACCGGGAAGGAGAAGCCTCTTCACTCCCCCCCTAGCAGGCCCTTCCACAGCCAGCCAGGGCTGTTCATAGGACCACCCAACCGCTCCAGTGCAAACACACTAAGGCCCATACCTTCAGAAAAACTAGTATGTGAAAAGACAGTTTATGTATTGCAAGTAACACAGTTGATATTCTGCCGTATTTCTTTGTACAGCAGCTCTCTTTTTAGTTAGATACGCTTTTCAGAGCATCATGGCCGTGGAGCCCTCAAGGTCCGGGTTCTAGTCCCAGCCCCTGACATGAACCAAATCCCTGCCTTAGCCTCAGCCTCCTAATCTGACAGGCATGTGATCACAAGGGTAACCAAGAGTTTTAAATATTCTGATTTTGGACCTTTTGTTTAAAATACCTGAGACATAAATTTTAAGTATCACAATATCTGCCAGGTAGATGAAGAGCAGAAATTATAGTAACTCTTTCTCAAGTGTTTAATTTCATAACACTGTAATACTTTCTCTCTATATGAGAGAGAAGTATTTTTAAAAGACTAGCGGCCTCTGTGAATGACCTCCAACCGTGGTCTCACGCACTAGAGTAGAACACCATTCCAGTTTGGAACATAATCATCCCAGTATTTTTCTACACATTTAAATATACAAACCCATAACGAAATGCTTTATTTTGTGGTTTTTCTTTAAACCCACAAGTGGTATCATGCTTTGCTTTGTTCCGCAACTTCATTTTATCTTAAAAGATGGACCCATTAGTTCATGAAGAGAGCTATTTCCTTCTTCAATAGGTGTAAAGTATTTCAAAGTACAAATGCTACAATTTAGCCATTTACCTACCAGTAGTCTTTGTAGAATATTCCTTTTTTTTTACCCCACCTATTAAATAATTCTACAACAAGGAGACGCGTACAAACATGCTTAAGCATACAGGGGGAGTATCTCAAAGGCAGAAACTAGAAATAAAACAGTAGGGTCACAGGAGAAAAATCTGTGTATGTAACTACCCTATCATATGAGCTGCTTCGAGGTTTTTAGAGGCTCAGGCACAAAGTACTCAGTACAATGAATGGTAAAAGTGAATCAAACACCAAGAATCTGATGTACTTTAGAAATACACTATCCAAAGTAAAACTGGTCATCTAAAGACCTCACCATGCCGACCATGTCAGTGTTGGAAATTCACACAGTAGGACTTTGCTTTAAGGTCATCCTTTACATCCCAACTTTATTTACCTGTTTGGGAACCCGGACTTCTGCTAAGAGGAGAAACGGAGGAAGCCCCATGGCCCTCAGTGCTGGTGGGACCCAAAGCAGAATCAGGGGAGCAAGTATAGGAATTGAAGGCAGGAAACTGCTGTAGATTCTCCAGGGGAATGTGAACTTCTGGGTCTGCAAAGGAAAGATGAGAATGGTAGGCCCAAATACAGATTTCCTCAAATATTTTTCAACAGTTGAGGACAGTCAATATAACTCCTCCAGGGGAGTAGGATGTAGACAAGAAGCTTTAAAACACAAATTTATAACTGTCACCTTAGAGAATTAAAGGTGAGGTTAATGATCCATCCAGAGCGCACGCGGGACAATGATTCCCAGCATTGTTTTTTGGTTTGTGCTTAGAGATCCCCAATTCCCTCCCCCACCAGGTTTTTGCACCCGCTATGCCAAGGATGAATTTAATCTTACTCCTTACTATGTGCCATGCACTTTGACCCCAATTAAGTCTTTAAAGGAGGTACTCTCATGATTCATACTTAATTGAAGAAGCCCTGGCTAGGTAGCTCAGTTGGTTAGAATCATCCCGATATACCAAGGTCACAGATTTGATCCCCAGTCATAGCACAGACACAAATCAACCAATGAATGCATAAATAAGTGGAACAACAAATCAATGTTTCTCTCTCTCACCCTAAAATCAATTAATCAATAACTGAAAAGAACAAGTGGCAGAGCTAGGATAGGAACCCGAGCAGTCTGGCTCCTGGGCTCGGACACTGAGACTCTGTACAATGATGCACAGCTGTACTAGTCCAAGATGAGAGTTCTTGAACTTACACTTGCCCTGTTTCTTGTTCTCTTCCATCTCAATTCTGCGCTCTCGACGGCGCTCCTCCCGAGCCTTCTTCTGGCGCTGACGCTTCCTCTTCTCAATGTCATCTGTAGGTTGGTCAGGTTATGAGGAGGCTGGCCCAGGACAACCTGGCCATTTCCTCCTCCCAGCTGACTAGTAGCTAAGGCCACACATGTGGCCCCAGCTGGACTGGATGAACAGAAAAGCTATATGAAGAGATTCTGAGACTCATGATACTGCTCCTTAACTCCTCCCACCCTGGGTGTCTAGTCGCAAGGACCCATGTACTCCACTATAAAGAGAAGCAAAGTTGGGGCATTCTTACCTGAGAATATCTCTAGGGTTTCCTTAGAGACCACAGGAGGCTGCAGAGCCAGTTCACAGATGCTGAACTCGCATGTGAGTGGCAAGTGAGAAAGATATCTATGACGCTGTCGAACATCCTACAGTGGAAAGGGGACCAACACTCAAATAAGTCCAGGCATTACTCTGTGGGTAAAGATTCTTACCCCCCACGGCCAACAGTCTACACACACTCACAGACAGCAGCACGAGGGCTCAAAGATCAGTGTTCAAGTTACCACCATTTTGAAAAGCCAAATAGAAAGTGTCAATTAAGCTACAGTAAGGTAGACTCAGCAACCAAAAGCAGTTTTTTGGTTTGTGCTGCAAATGAATGAATTGAGCCTGGCAATAAATGATCTAAAGCTGATCAACTGTTTCTGATTTTCTGGGGTCCATGACTGAGGGGAGAAAGTAAGAAAAATGAAGTTATTTCTTGGCAAAAATCTGACAACCACTGACAGAATTAATGATAACTGGGTAGATACATAAAGCATATTTGCCTATTGCATGAAGGTTGGCCTAAAACAGTAAAAAAATGAAGCCCACAAATTTGTTTACTTTTTTCTTTTTTAGCAAGTTTGATGGATAGTTTAGTACTGAAAAAGTCTAGGCTTATAACAAATTTCAGATCAATACACGGATAACTCTCAAAGGGCAAAATTTCACATATATAAATCATCAGGCAATTAATTTACAGGTATCAAAACTTTAAAAAACGTCCCCTGAGGACTTTTTGTTTTCTTGAACATTTCTCCCAAGCAGTAAGGAGAAACAGAAACAAACTCATCTTCAATGAAAGTAGGAGACATCTATATTCTCAAACCACAGTAAATAACCTATGAAACACAGAGCAGTGGTGGCTGATGTAACAGAACCCTGGCATTGAACGTTTAAATGGTAGCACCACTTAACTTTTAAAAAGTTCACAGCCACATCATTGACAAAAATAAGACCTAAAAATACAAAAACTAAAGGCCTTGTAGGTTTGTGAACTTGGGTGGACCAGGCCCACCTCAAAGACACACGTTAATGCTGCTCCTTGACCCTGCACCTCCACAGGAAGGCCTCACCTCAGACATGGAGTAGCCAGCGATCTCCACCACCGTCGCTGAGATCTTCTCAGGGCTCTGCTCCAGGCTGCCGTACTCCCGCACGAGGCAGCGCACGTTCACAGGGTGCAGGAACATGTACTGCCCATCTTCCGCTGAGGACAAGTGGCTCTGTCACACAACAGCCTTGGCCAGTCCTCCAGACAGGGCCCTCCTTATGGCTAGGCCTGCCTTTCCCTCCCAGGCTGAAGGGCTCGAGAGACCGACGTGCCCAGGACCTAACGGCGACACCCCCTTCTGCTCAAAGGATCAGGTCCTCTCTCTGAGACATCTCTATGGCAACCTAGCCCTCCCCCTCAGGGACCCTCACCCTGGTAAAAGTAGTAACAAGGAGAGCTGCTCAGGCGTGTGAAGTCTGAACTGGTGATGGGTTCCTGTTGGCTTGACTCGGTACAAGTGGTCCCCTCTCCAAGATTGTCATTTGCTAACTTCGAGTCATCACAGGGCTCAGAAAACCCCTCAGGCTCCGGCTCAGACAGTGCTTCCTCTTCCTCCACCAGAGGGAGACCAGGAGGACAAGAGGAGCCCAGAGAAGAGACTTCGGCGGTTTCTTCATCAAAAGCAGACAGGTACTCTAGCACTCCCTGTTGGGACAAATTCTAGGTCAACAGGAAGTACACGTGGCCAAGGTAGGTATAGGAATCAAGCTCTCTGGATATTTATCTTAGTTGTCAAATTCACTGATTTAACACCTCTGGGGGAAAAACTGACAAGCAGAGAGGAAATACTCACAAAAAAATTCAGATCTCTCACAGTGCCTACCAGCTCATTACCAGCATTTGAGGAACAGCAGCCATTCAGTCTGGAACAGGGACACACTAACCTTCCTGGGTTGGAAAACAGACTCCTTCGACAAGGGAGCCATCAGCACCAGTTGTTCCAGAGTAGCCACAACACCAGCGACTGCCCCTCTGCTTTCAGCCAATCCTGACAGAGCTTCTTCCCGAGTCTAGACCACCAGAGAGAAGACAAGAGAAAGCTCAGTTTCCAGAAAGACACTTAAATATGAAGGAAAAGGGCTTTTAATGACCTCCCTCAACAGAAACAAAAGTTATACAGCAACAAGACCCAATGGGAAGAGTCTTAAGTATTGAAAATCCTCAATCTTTAAGGGAAATGGGAAGCAAAAAGCATCTGGTACTCAAATAGAACGGAAATCTGTCTAGAGTCTCTGACAATGACAACCCTACACAAAAGCTTCCTGAACAGAAATCTAAGAACACAGAACTAGTTTTTAGAAACTATGCTGAGACAGCACCCCACAGCAGAAGCAGGTGGGGTTTGGCCAACCTCCACCTCAACCCAGACAGCTCTACTTCTATATAGTTTGTCTTCTACCTGAAATGTATTGAAACAAATGCTCTGTACTGTATAAAGAAAATAAAAATTAAATGCACAGGACCCATCCAAGGAGGACTTAAAAGTCAGAGAGAGAGGAATTCAAGTACCAGACTCATCTCTTATGAGTTAGGTGTCTTACAAGGAAATTACCTAACACATGATTCTATTTTCTCATCTGGGAAAGGGGATGGTTATATTTAGCATACCAAGATATGAAGCTTAAGTGAGGTCAAGTTAAGTACAGTATCTACTGAACCAACCTCTTAGGGTGGAGCCCAACAACCAGTGATTCCGGTGCTTGTTAAAGCTTAAGAATCCCTGTTGTAGGGGATACAAGACATAACAAATTATTTGGGTAATTCTTGCTGCTCCAAAGTGCTCAGCAGATACTGCTAGGGCCTGCTGGACAGGGCGTAGTACTTTCTCCACAAGGTCCCTCAAATAAAACATCTCTAAAAATACATCCAAGTGTTTTTCTAGAAACAAAAAGCATAACTAAGAACACACCTAAGAACACACCTAACCTAAGAAACTCTAGTGTGAGGTTATAAAGTCATTTTGTCACGTTCCTTTCAGATCCAGAGTGCTTAAAATCCACTAGGTCGGACCTTCTCTGCCATCTCCAAAGCCCAGAGCAAATCAGCCTTTGTAGTCATTCTCTGCTCATTATCTTAAATACGGGGTGGAAGTGACTTACTCCTTCCATCCCGTCCCGTTTCCAGCACATCATCTCACCTTGAGCTCCTGGATGGCTGCCTCAATAAAGCAGGACTCGGGACTGTGCTTCTCCTCTGCCAGCTGCTGCTCTAGTGCTATCTTCTCTTCCTGAACTACTCGGTGCAGCACCTGCTCCTTAGAGGCCAGCAGCAACTTGGAGTACTGGCTGTGCTGTTCATCTGCCAAAGAGCCAGCAAGATCACAAAAATGCAATACTCAAAGCTCACAACTTTGTGGTCAAACAGAAACTTTTACACACAGCTTTTTTCCTAAAGTGAAGATGAAGTAATTCAGCATAATTTCCTGAAAATAATTTAACAATGACCTTAATAAGTTACAAACCTTATATTAAGGTTTATAAAAAGCTTGTATTAAGGTTTATAAAAAGTTGTAAGTGACCAGTCCAGTAGCAAAGAAATGGTTAACGACATGATGGTGTGTGTAGTCATTGAAGAGGATTTTGCAAACAGTACATGGGGGAAAAAAGCAGCCGGCAGATTAGGGCAAAACTTTTGGGGTATCTCCAAGTAAAAGTATCATGAATGATCTATTACCGTCCCTTCTTTTCCCTATACTTTCAACACATTTAAAAAAGTTTAGCCCTGGCTGGTGTGGTTCAGTGGGCGGAGTGCCAAGGACACTGGTTTGATTCACAGTCAGAGCACATGCCTGGGTTGCAGGCTGGGTCCCCGGTTAGGGATGTGCAAGAAGCAACCGATTGATGTTTCCCTCTCACATTGATGTTTCTTTCCTTCCCCTTTTTTCTCCTTCCCTTCCCCCTTCTCTTGAAATTAATACAATCTTTTTTTAAAAAAGCTTTAAAAATGTTTAAAACAATGTTATTTTTTGAGAAATGCCATTTGTTTTCCCCTTTCCATCCTAGTACCTGCCCAGAGAAAACCATTTACAAATTTGAGTATGTATCCTTCAAATCTTTCTATACCTGTATATACCCATGTTCATAAAAAATAAAGGTTTTTCCAAAAATCAACTATAAAGTTTTATCTACATTTATTCTCATTTGATGTCTTAAAATCTATCAAAATATTAACACAGAGTTTTATCACTTTTACTTTCTATATAGTGTTCCACAGTATTATATACTCTAATATGTAAGTTCTTTAAGTAACATTTAGTTTATTGCCAGTTTCATGGTTTGAAAAAAATCCTTATACACTCTTCTTGATACAAACTATTTCTTTATATTTAAGTATAAATGCTAGATTAAAGGTTGTGCATATTTTCAATATTACTCAATTCTACTCCCAAGGCTATTAATTTATAATCCCACCAACAACAAGGATACTGATTTCCCCATTCCTGCGTATACCTGGGTGTTCCAATGTCTTTTTTTTTTAATCCATCTAATAGAGATTTTGATCTGCATAATTCTTAGCAAAGATAAATCTCTGTAGATATTTGGAGGTTATCCCGGCATCCTTTTCTGGGAAAAGTTCTGTCACATGCTTAGTCCATTCTTCTATTAGTTTGTTAATCTATTTTATAGAACACCTGTATGTTGTGGACGTTAATCTTTACTTTTAAATGTGTGAGTTTTTCCCCTAGCTTATTTATTTATCAACTGTTGTCTCTAAGGAATTTTGTCAGATTACAAACCTATCAATCTTTTTTTAATTAACTTTATTCAGGTAACATTGGTTAATAACATTATATAAATTTCAGGCATACGTTATTAATCCAAAATCTATATGCTCTATTGTGTGCTCAGCACCTGAAGTCTAGTCTTCTCTCACTGTATATTTGACTCCTTTTATCCACTTTGCTCTCCCCTCATCCCTCAATCTTTTCTTTTACAGCATCTATGGTTACAATCTGGTTCAAAAATCCATCTATATCTGAGCATTTATATAAAGGTACTGTCCTATATTTTCTTTTAAAGGTTTAAAAGTTTTGGAAGTCTTTAACATTTACTTCTTCAATCCATCAGAAATTGACTTTTATGAACAGTAAGAGATAGGAAAATATATTTTTTCTTTTTCCCATAAGAGGAGTCCATTGTTTCAATAACATTTATTGAGAAATCTCTTTTGCTCAGAAATTGAAATGCCACTTTAATGCAATGTTCATTTCTCCAGAAAATACAATCCCTTTAACTTTCACCACCATAAGCACTTATCACACTCTATACCCTAAACCCCAACTGCCTGGCTACCCATCTGTCTCTTTTATTAGACTACTGAGTTTCTTGATGACAGGCGCCAAGACTGGCTGACCAGAATCCCCCAAGTCTGGGCACAGTGCCAGATGCTATTCACTAACCCCTTGTAAAATGAAAAATTAAAATATATGTAAGTGAACAAAACCTAAAACCAAGAGTTAAGCCACTCTCTGCAAATTCCACCCTAACCTACTAGAATCCTACAACTAATTTGGAAATGCTAGAAATTCCATGCCCAAAGGCTTAATTTCCAACAGTAGAAAGACATTCACCAGCCTTAATGGGTGTACCCAGGATTATCTGCCTCCAAAATTAACGGAACTCACCTCCTAGATGAATAGGATGGTCTACATTCATCCATTTGGATTTGGGCAAGGCCACCAACACCCCTTTCTCCCTCTTCATCAGCTGCATTGTAATGGTATCACCAACAACATACTGACGAGACTCTGTGGCAACAACACTGTAAAACGGGTATTTAGTTGTAGCAGGACAAGGAGCTAGCGACTGATGTCTAATCTAGTCAGCATCTCCATCTCACCTCTTGAGATCCTTCTTATGCACAGAACTGTAACAGATGGGACATTTACTCCAGGTCTTCTCACTCAGTGAAAGATAGTGCAGAATGCATGCCCAGCAGAAGATGTGTCCACAACGGGTTATCTTGGCTGCAGTAGGTGGATATAGGCATATTGGGCAAGATGGCACTTCATGGCTACAAATACGCTGAAACAAAATGCCACAAGTTACATTACTTTCAGAATTGACTAGGGATTGCCAAAGTTAAAGCCTCTCTTCTCCTATCCCCATACCTCTCTGCTTAACACACCTTCAAAGAATTGTTCAACAATACAAGTTTTATGTACGACAGCACTTGAAGCAAATCATTAAGGAAACAATGGCTTCATATAATAAAACTACGTAACAGGTATTTTGAGGGTTCTACTGCAAAGGGAAAAAAATGACAGAAATCAATATATGATCTCATTTACAAAAAAAGGTTTATATGTAAACATACATACATAAAGGCATAAAAAGTGTCTAGAAGTAATATACCAGTGATTTCCAACAGAGGAGTCAATGAGACTCACTTTATCTGGCTCTCTATTCATTTAAACCAATACACATAAAATTAAGTTTCATAGGCTTTATGTCGCTCTCAGGTGATTTTATGAATTTGCACAGACATGGGAGTCCAGGCTTCAGGGTCTATTATTTTGAAAGGAACTTTATATCATATAACCTAGGAGTGGCGAGGGGATACCCAGACCTCATGACTTCAATAGGAAACAAATACAGTAGTGGCCTGGAAAGAAGTACAGTTATGTGGCTGGCTTATGAGCCACAAGGCTGAGGCCTGGTTTGATAATGATTACTACAAATGGTTACCAATGAAGCAATGTCCTGTAATGAGTCCACCCTGGGTCAGGAGGGTAACCAGAACCCGGCATGCGTTCCCCTGGTTACTCCTTCCCAGGAGGAAGAAGGTGGTAGACAGGACTGCTTTTATACCTTCAGCTCAGACCCTCCAACTCCGCAGTCCTGCAAGTCAGTGCCAATTAGCACAAAATGAACCCCAAAAGAAACCAGGACTGATCTCTGGGGAATGTCTACAGTAAGGACACGCAGAAAAGGGTGTCTGCAGGGAACCCAGCCACCAGCTGCCGTGTCACCACAGTCCCTTTCCGGAGTTCTCTCTTCCAATAATAGGTTAGAAGCTTAGCTGAGGCACTCACCACTTGTTCCACAAAGTCCCAACTGACTAAGGTATCAGGATCGGCGAAATGAACTGTGTAGTCTTGGTCTTCAGACACCACAAACTGACAGCTAGAAATAGAGAGGAAGACAAGGAAAAGGCCGACTGTCAGAATCAACCAACAGGCCCTCAGCAGAAATTCATCTCTTCACGTAGAAATCAAACGCAGGCCATCATCAGCCATGGTTTGTGAAGCATTGAGACCTGGTTCTGGAGGGAATCCAAAGACTCAGCAGGCAGGAGTCTAAATCCATGAATTCTGTTTAAGCCCAGCCAAGCTGCCTACAGGCCTCCCTTGAACTAAAATTAACCCAGACTGTGGTTCCATCAACCAGCAGGAAGCCGTATTTGCTCCCTCACCCCCAGAAATCCCAGAACATAGCTCATCAAGGCAGTAGAAAAGGCTGTCCTTACTCAATCATTTGAGTACCTGTTTATATAAAATACTAAATGGTTACTTCGGTCTATGTCCAAGGTTAAATCTTGCATTATAACTAACACCATGAAAAAAGAAAAAGGGAATCAGTATTTGAGTAAATGCATGCCAAGCACTCCAGCTTGTTATTCAATTTTTTCTTAAGTAATCTTTCCTCCTGTATAGAGAAGCTGAATCTCAACGTGGTTAGGTAAATTACCGAAGAACAAAGGTCAAAACAAGATTCAAATTTGGGTCCAATTCCAAAGTAAACACTTTTACCACCCCATCATGACACTAAGGCATTACTTAATTTTAGTACTTATTTATTTATTTAAGCATTATATTCTTTTAAGCTCCAAGAACATTCACTTGGAAAATGGGTTTTCAACACTAGCCAGAAGAAAAAGAAAAAAACAGGAGGAAAAAGGAAAAAGAACTCTGGATCAACTCCCTTTCTGCCCTTCCCACAGTAGTTTAAAAGAAGTTTCTTCTCAGCACAACTGCCCAGAGGCTCAATTTCACTTTCCTCCTAGGAGTAGCCATACTCACTTGGCCTGTAGAAAGAGTTCCTTGTTGAAAGGCTTATGTCCCCACTTGTTCCTTTTCCCCCAGCTGCCATGTCCACTGCCTTCAAAGTGACCCGCTTGGCCACGGGGTTCGAAAGTGAAATTCAGCAAGTGGTTCAGGTTGATCTTCTTTGGACCAGAGAACTGGGCAGGGCTAAACTCTGCCCGCTGAGCCTCTGCTACCTACAGAGAATGAAAATGAATCAAAGTATTTCGATTAGGATGAAACTTACTGATTTACATCAGAAACCAGCACAACCCCTCCTTCTGTAAGTCATAGAATGATTGAAATAAAACATAGGTTTGAAGTACACGATCTTTCTAGGAGGTGCCAATACAAAGGTCAACCCAAGGCCCTGGCTGGTGTGGCTCAGTGGACTGAGTGCCAGCCTGCAAACCAAAGGGTCACTGGTTCGATTCCCAGTCAGGGCATATGCCTGGGTTGCATGCTGGGTCCCCAGCAGGGGGCGCGCAAAATGCAACCACACACTGATATTTGTTTCTCTCCCTCCTTTCCCCTCTCTCTAAAAATAAATCTTTACACACATACACATACACACATGCGCGCGCGCAAGAAAAACACTACCCAAGATCTAAATGGAAGTGGAGCAGGGAAAAACATACAATTACTTAAGCTTGTTTAGTCTGCCCTGCTAAGTGGCAATTAACTGTTAAATGGCAAAATAAACCCCTCTAACTATCTTGAAACACAAAGATTTACTTACTGGATTTAACTTTCAACAGTCCCATAGGACTCTACACCTTCACTCTTGTTAGCTACTTGTTCTCTGGTTTGTTTCTGGCAAAAGCCAGTCTATGGAACTACACCCCAGAGGCAGCTTGCAGGCAGCTGCTACCTGCAGTAGGTCTCAGGATCCTGACAGAGAACTCCTCTCTAAGACACACTGCTCTTCATTGTTCATTAAAACTGACAGAATTAGAACGTGTAGGCAGACTAGCTCTGTGTCCAGAAAGAAATCCAATCAGCAGACTCAGAAATAGTTTAGAATGGGGCAAGACACAACATGAGAAAATTCTGCACACAAAGAAGAAATATTTGGGGGCTTTTTCGGTCCTCTTAATAATCCCAAATCAAAGTGGTACAGAATACAGGTACCTATACAAGTCAGCTAGTGCATTTTCTAATTCCACTTTCCTATTTGATGTCATAAGCACTTTACCATGTTACTAAATATTAGTATACAGTCACTTTAACTGGCTGTATGTTTACATTACATGGGAATACTAGAAGGCCATAGTGTTAAGACACAGATTGTGCATACCTTTTCTACCATGTAACACAGTAATGCTGCAATAAACACACTTTTGGATAGATCTTTGTGCACAAATATTTGGGCACTTACAGTTATTTCTTTTGAATGTCTAGTAGGAACTACTGGGTCAAAGAAAAAGCAAATTAAAGGCTTCTGCTGCTTAATCAAATTCAGAGATTAGTAGGCAGCATTTGTACACGTGATAAAGAATCTAAAGGGTATAAAAAAGGCAAAGATACCTACTATACCAGGGGCATTCTATGCATATATTCTATGTATATAGAGTCATAGTATATGACCTTTATGATTAAATACATACCACACAGTTAGGGAATTTCCTTTTATTTTAACAACAGATCTTAGGGGACAACACCCCTGCACTGTTTACACAACTCACCTAGGAAGCCCAAGACTTCCATCATCCCTTACCTCTCATCCCTTAAGATTCTCATTTCCATATGGTTCTGCTAACACCTCGCCACGTTTTCCACTCACAATGCCCAAACCTTATGTAACAGTTTTGTGCTCACTCAACAAAATTCTCCAGGTTCTCAACCTCCTATCTTCACCTTGTTATCGTAACGTAGCTGGCCCATCGCCACTCTCCCTGATTATCCTTCCAACATGCTACTTCTCTGTTCTTTGACCTCCCTTCCTCCGATCAGCTTGCCCTCAACCCTCCCATGGGCGTACCGCCTAGGGATGTGCTATTCAACAGCAGCCACTACCAGCCAGATGCAACTGCTGAGTACTTCAAATGTGACCAGTGCCACACTGAAACAGCATTTTAGTTATACTGGGTTAAACATATTAAAATTAGAAGTTTCTTTACGTTTGTAATGTGGCAACTAGAAAATTTTAAGTTATACATGTGACTTGCATTTCTATCAGACAGCACTGTTCTATAGTCTAAACCATGCTGGCAACAACTATGCCCTCTTCCACTGTCTTAGATTGGACACCCTACATCCAACTAGCAACTCATTCCTTTTTCAGCCTGTTCCCTTTAGTCCTGATTCCAACAATTCTTCACCGGGATCTTCAAGCCAGTGGTGCAATCCCCCAAACTTTCTTTCCTCATTTGTCTTAGACCCTATGATCCAGTGCTTCCTTCCCATCAGTTGCACTCACCCAGCAAAAACCTTCCCCCGATTAACCCAACTCTCCACCTATTCCACACTTGCACAGGAGCAGTTAAACACGGCTAATGAACACACTAGCCCTGGCCAGGTAGCTCAGTTGGTTGGAGCGCTGTCCCAATACACCAAGGATGTGGGTTCGAGCCCCAGTCAGGGCACATACAAGAATCAACCAATGAGCGCATAAATAAGTAGAACAAACAAATCGATGTTTCTCTCTGTCTCACTAAAATAAATAAATTTTAAAAATGTTAAAAGATTTTATTCTTTTATTCTTAGAGAGAGGGGAAGGAAGGGAGAGAAATGTCAATGTGAGACAGAAACATCGAGCAGCTGCCTCTCACACATGCCCCAACTGGGGACTGAGGCTGCACCCAGGCATGTGCCCTGATCAGGAATCAAACTGGTTACCTTTCGATTTGTGGGCCAATGCCCAACCAACTGAGCTACACCGGTCAGGGAACTAAATAAAAACTTTTATATCACATTCCCTCTTACCAGAACAATCCCATTAGCAGAGATATGCTATAATTTCTCCAACCTTAAAATCTGTCTTGACCTCACATTCCCCTCAAGCTACTGCCTCACCTCACTGCTCCCCTTTAAAGCAAAGCCATTAGAAAGTATTGTCTGAACTTGCCATTTCTTCTTCCCATCCTCCCATTCTCCCTAAATCAATGCCCATCAAGTTTTTATCTTCACCACACCACCAAAGCAGCTCAAGGCCAAAAACCTACCTTCACATTTTCAAATCTAATGGTTAGCATTCAGTCCTAATCTTACTCAGCCTATCAACATTCCAGAACAAAACTGATCACTTTCTCCAAATGGCTTTCAGTTCTCTTCCTCCCTTTTTGCTGGTTACTTACCATTCTGACTCAGGGATCAGTCCTAGAATCCACTTTTTTTTTCTTTTTGCAACATTCACTTCCATCATGACTTCCCTTAGTTCCAAAGCTGCAATCACCCACTGCACGTGGACAGCCCTCTAGCCTGGGCCTCCTCCCTCAACTCCAGGCTGTTAAGGACCTCTCTCTGCTTGGAGATCCAACAGGGATCTCAATGCAAACACATTTCCAAGATGAAGTGCTTTATCTCAACCCCTGCCTCCCAAAACCCTGTACTCCTCTTGAAATCTTCCCCATTTCAGCAAGAGTTACTTGAATTGGGGTCTTGCCCAATTAAAACATTAGCCATTCCTTTCCCTGTTCAGACCCCAAATCTAATATATTAAAAAATCTGATCACCTCTCACCACCATCGATCTGTTTCTAAGCTTCCACTGCTCTCACCGGGAATATCTTAATAGTTCCTAACTAGTGTCCCTGCTACCACTCTCCCCTTTAAAATGCCAAGTCATATGAAGGAAGAAACAAACAAACAAAGAAGAAGAACAAAAACTCCAAGTCAGATTACCTTACTTCTCATCTTAAACCCCACAAAAGCTTCCCATCTCTCTGAACAAAAGCCAAAGTCCTCAAGGGCCCATGTGATCTGACCTCTTTCCCGTTATTTGGCTTCATTTCCTTCTTCTCTTCTCTTCCATGGTAGCTTCTTCCTTTACCTCAAACACACACACACACACCCCCACCCCCACACCCCCACCTCTGTTCCCTGGCACTTGTTATTCCTTCTGGCTAAGACAGTCTTCCTCAGAATATGGCTTCATTTCCTTCTTTTCTCTTCCATGGTAGCTTCTTCCTTTAAAACACACACACACCCCACTCCCACCCCCCTCCCTGGCACTTGTTATTCCTTCTGGCTAAGACACTCTTCCTCAGAATATGCAGTGCTCCCCGGCTTCATTCAGCACTCTAATCAAAATTCACCTCCTCAGCGAAGCTCTCCTCAGCCACCTTCTAAAACTGTATTCTTTTTTACTCTCCATTCCTTTACCTCAGTCTTTTTTTTTTTTAAATTCAATAAGCACTTACAATCAGGTTTATTATACAATGGTTTACTTAATGTCGCCCCAAACTATTACAATACAAGCTCCTGACAATGTTGTACGTGGTGCACAGCAGGCAAAGAGTAAATTTCAGGTGAATGAATGAATTCTTCCCTGAGTGCATCCATTAACCATTAATCAGTCCTATTCTACAATGGTTACATAGTATGGAAGATTTAAACAGCAGGATAACTTATTTAACCAGTGCCTCAGTGATGGCATTGAGGCTGTTTACTAAATTTTACAACTGCAAACAATGCCCTTCAGAAGGTTATCTAAGAAATTCCTAAAATAAGAGAACCTATGATTAAAAATACGGCATTTTACACTTCGCTAGATGCTACAGGGCAAATGTCATTAATTGTCATTTTATTACCTAAATATTCCAAGCAGAACCTGTAATTCAAGAGCGATAATAAAAGGAGTATACAAATTAAGGTACCCCAAATTTGCTGTTATTCCTCACAATTCATGATTTTATCTTCTTCAAGGAAATTTTCAAACCTAGTTAATCTTCAACTACTCAAGGCTGCTTTGGTTATTTACAATTCCACCTTTTGCTCCCTGCCCCTGCCACCAACTACTCATAAACTGGGAGTGGGGGGGGGGGGTACCAGACCTCATGCTTATGCTCTAGAAAGAACGTTTCTGAAATCCCATACCTCATCTCGTCTTCCACCATTAAAAGAAGAGCTAAAGAGTTTGCTGCTGCCGCCGCCCCTTTGAGGAGGCATCTTATTAAAAGTTTTGCTTTTCTGTGAATTGGAGCGACGGGACTGGTTGCTAAAATTTTCATTTTTGGGGCAGGAAGGTTCACGTTTGCGATTATAACGCTTGGATCCACTTGAGTTCTTTCCATCTGAAAGCAAGAAACACAAAAGAATTAGTTGAGAAATTATATATATATATATACTCGGTCAATTGTTCTCCACCTGCCAACAAAATTGTGTAAAGAAAGGGTAGATGGCAGCTGCTCTGTTTATGGAGTAGCCACTCTGTTTCACTGCTTCACGAATAAACTCTTTTTTAACTTTACTACTTAAACTCTAAAAATAGGTGGGGGGGAGGTGGTAAATGGACCCTTCCACAACATCCAAGAATGCTGGGTTTGGGCCAGAACATTATTAGTGTTTTGTGCAAAACCTCGCATAGTAAGGTGGTATTTTTGTTTTGTTCTGTTTCTTAATGATGAAACCAAAACAGCCCCTCCCTCAGGATGAATGCTATATAGATCAAACCATAGAATCACAGCTCACATTTTTCTGTTTTACAGAGCTTAATCACTGCTCTTGTAAAAGTCCATTCAGACATTCTGATAGAAAAAGAAATATCTGATGTATATGAGGAAAAAGTACTTTATCTAGAGGCAAGAGAAAAGACTTTTTTTCCTTAAATGAGTACAACATTGCTAGATTCTGTACTGCAATAGCTTGGCCTCAGCCCTTCACCCTAGCAGATATATTCGAGAAGCATAAAAGCAAAACAATACATACGTTATGTTCTAGAAGTCAAACTGAGAAGTTGGAGGTCAAACTGAGAAGCTATTAAATTGACAAAAGAAGGTGAGCTGTAAGAGCATATTAGACAGCAGGAGTTACACCTTTTTAAAAAATATTTCTAGCTCTTCTCCAACTGCAAAAATGTATATTCAGCTTTGAAATACAGAATGATTTTCCTTTGCCAGTACTCACAGAATACCAACCTATAAACAGTGTTTAATTTCCTTTTACTCTCCATTTAATCCACATGCCACATATCTTCCACACAATTACAAGTATAGAAGACATACTGTCTTCTACCTATTACTCCATGAACATTTTCATGCATCCATAGTCTTCCAAAGTATGATTAATGGCTGCACTATTGTCTACCATCTACCATGTACTTATAGAATAATGCAATCAATCCTCTATTGCTGCATATTTACGTCCTTTAAATTTTTTGCTAGTTTAATATAGCATTGGGAGCCTCTTTATACAGAGGTCTATGTGTATGATTATGTCAAATTCTCAAAGTGGAACGAGCACATCAAGTATAATCATTAAAGGCTTTTACACATCCACAAGCTGCTTTTTAGAACCATTATACCAATTAACATGTTCCTTTTTTTAAGATTTTATTTATTTATTTTTAGAGAGGGAAAGGGAGGGAGAAAGAGGGGAGAAATATCAGTGTGTGGTTGACTCTTGCATGCCCCCTACTGGGGACCTGACCCACAACCCAGGCTTGTACCCAGGCCACCCTTTGGTTCACAGTCCAGCACTCAAGCCACTGAGCCACACCTGCCAGAGCGCAATTTACTTACATTCTAGTGACACTGTAAGAATGTCTAATTCAATACATTCTTGATAATACTGAGTTAAATAAATTTTAAGTTGAATCGTGAAAATAACTTGTTTTAAATTTGAATTTCTCTGATGACTAGCAACAAACACTTTTTCAGTCTGTTGACCATTTGTATTTTTTGTAAAGAATTTGTTTGTATTCTTTTCCCCATCTTTTTCTACTGGGGAACGGAAGTGCAGAGGTTATTTTGTCCCAAACTGATCAAAAGAACCCTCGCCAGACATATTTAACATGTGCCAAAGTTTACCAGCTTTAAAGAAGGCAAAATAAAACCTATCTGGAGAATCATTCACAAGTAAATAACTAACAGTGAATGAGGTCTCCAAATTAGTCTTTAGCCAAAAAAAGACTAATTTATTAACATTCTTGTCCTTTTGCTTACTCCATGTTGTCCTACTTCAAAATGAGAATCTGACCAAATCAAGTGTGCACACTAATTAATTTAATGGCTTTTAAGCAAAAACTTAGAGAAAGTGGAAGCTCAGGGACCAATGAAGAAATGAAGAAATCCATTATGCTTACCCTCAAACTTGAAGGGAATGGTGGTTTACAAAGTCAAGAGGATTCCGCGTGAGCCTCAGAAATATAAAAAATTCTCCCTCGAAATATACAGCTTAATTTTGTTTAATATTAAAAATATGTAATTAATAGAAACAAATCTGGAAAGGCAACAGAGCAGGCTGTTAATGACAATTACCTTTGGGAAATGGAACTACCCACTTTTACCAGTTCATATGAATCACTCAGATGAGCTTTTAAGGGATTCCTGTACTTAGGCCTTGCCCTCTAAGATTCTGACTTCAGTATACAGAGTTATTGCTCTGTATACTTATTATTTGGGTAATTAAAAACTGTTAAGGTCCTAGAAAAATTATTTCTAGACAAGTAGGATGACCAATTTACTTTACAGCAGACTAAGTAAATACAGGCTGAAACATATCTTCAAAGGAAAGGAAATGTGAGCTGATAAACCACACTCCAAATTTTGACAGCAATCACCTCACACTCAGTTTGTCAACAACACGGAATAAATGAAGAGTATGCCATCCTCTTCCAAACTAACCAAACTGCAACCTCAGAGACTAGAAGTCATGTGCGATGGCAGCAATGCAAACAGAAAACGGTGGTCACTGAAACACTGCCAGGCAAGGTTCACTCCTACCAGTGACCTTAAAATACCAGTTAGGGAAAGTGACCAGCATTTAATCTGAAGTTACAATTTATGAAACAGACTTTTACCAACTTGTTCAGTTAGCAACAGTTATGGCATCAGTGGTAACAATTAGAAAGTGATGCTTCAAATCTCATACAAATTTTGCCTTGCCCTCAATCCATAAATTTGTTTACTGTAAGATTTCAAGTACACAGAATATTCAGAGGGACACAGAGCCCCAGCTTGCTCTACCATGAGAACAAATAAGGTCTCATGAAGAGAAGAGGAATACACAGAAAACACGTATTCCCCAAGACTGTTTCACATGATCTGCATTTGACTCTGGTGCTTTTAAGACAAGCACCTAGTAGTTTGCACAGATTTATGTAAAGCCAGACTCTATACTTTGAGGGCTCAAGAATGTAAGCTGGAACTCTGCCGGAGGGTTGTTTTCATCTTAGTCACTTATTACCACACTGGCAAGGAAACAGTTTCATAATGCTTACAGGACTGCTCTCTGGTGAATAGAGAAGTGCTATTTCTAAATCAGATTGGACCACATATGGATTTATGATTTTAGTTACGAAAAACTCCCTAATCTTGTCTTCCACTTACCTAAAGGTATGAAGTCAGACATCTAAAGTTGAGAGGTTGGCCCTGGCTGGTGAGGCTAAGGGGACTGAGCGCTGGCCTGTGAACCAAAATGTCATCGGTTTGATTCCCAGTCAGGCCACATGCCTGGGTTGAAGAGCAGGTCCCCAGTTGGGGGTGTGCAAGAGGCAACTGATCAACATCTCTTGCAAAGATGTTTCTCTCCCTCTCTGTCTCCCTCCATTCCCTGCTCTCTAAAAATAAATACATAAAATATTTTTTTAAAAATGAAATAGGTTGGACCCTGGTCAGGGAGCTCAGCTTGTTAGAGCACCGTCCCAATATGCCAACATTGCAGGTTCAATCCCCAATCAGGGCACATAGAAGAATCAACTAATGAACGCATAAAAAAGTGGAACAAAGCAATGTTTCTCTCTCTCTCTGAAATCAACTAATTTTTAAAAATTTTTATTATTAAAAAATAAAGTGAGAAATTGGCTCTTATCTCTACACCCAGGCAACAGGCAACTAAAAACTGAAGATACAGTCAGGCCTGAGACCCAGAGATAAAATTCATAGTACTGTTTTTGAAGTGTTTTATAGACAACCTGCCAGGATACACATGTGAATAACTTAGGGGTAAAATCTGTTCTTCTTTCTCTTACAGGAGACAACAATGAGATGATTTAAATTTTGGAAAGTAAAAAAGTCAAGTTCCAGAGTGAAGCATATTCTCATTGAAAATTTTAAATTTCAAAGTGGTACTTTCTAAATCCTGGCTGTACAACAGAATCACCTGCAGAGACTTTTAAAGCTATGGACATCAGGGCCCAAGGGCCCAACACAGACCGAAAGAATCACTAGGGAAGGGCCCCATATACCCCCATTTTTGAAAAAGGTCTCAGTAAATTGTAATGCACGGCCAGAGCTGAGAACAACAAACTGCCAAGAACTACTATCGAGACATACTCTGAAAGGCACAAAACCACTAGTTAGTTAAATGGCTCAAATCCAAAACTCAGGATCCCAGAATCAACAAAAGACTTGAGAATTTAATCCAGTGTCTCAGTTATTCCACATTTTCCTAACAGGACAGTCTCTACCAAATAACAGTAAACATATCTCTGTCTCTTCCCTCCATTACCAAATTAAAGGCCATAAATTTTTCTGTTAAATAATTTGGCATCGTCAGTACTTCTAGCTCTAGTGCTGACAGGTGGCATAGCCTAAAGGTCAGAAGATCACAGCCCGGAAGTTTGTGCTGCTGATTCATGCTGTAATCACAAGCAAGTTGCTTACCCATCACCCAGAGTGGTTGACAAGCACATCCGGAGGGGCAATACATGGCCTTATTACAGAATGAACTGACAACAAATTGAATCCAGCTGAAATTAGTAATTCTGAATGAAAGGAAGAGAGAGGTGATAACAGGAATGATATATGTGCCAGTAAGTTACCTGCTTGCTAAGTGAATCTATACAAAGTACATTTATAAATATTGTCTAGAACTTAAGAATTCACTTTGACAAATCACTTTAACCCCTCTAGGCTTTGGTTTTCTTGCCTGTAAAAGAGGGCTAATCCCCTACCCTCCCTCCTAGCAAGGTCGTGAAGATTAAGAGAAAACTTCTGTGAAATGCCTACCACAGTACTTGGCACACAGTTGCCATTATTATTTGGAGGTCTATTATTAATAAATCTGAATAATTCCTGCCAAGAGCACCCACTAGATTTCCAACAAAGCCATATAAACCAAGGACTCCAGCCAACAGGCCAGGAAATTCTTATAACTTTAGCTAAGTGGTCTTTATTGACAGCTTCAGAACACCTCAATTTCAAAGCCATCAAAGCCTCTGGGTCCATGTACAGCTCAGAGGCACTGTTCAAGATCACCACTTGCCGCCTGGCTTCCGGTGCCGGAGTAAGAGGAGGACTGTCAGGACAGTGCTTCACATCACCAACCTCAAAATAACTACTTCATAATACCTGACCTTCCCCTAACCTCCATGGCAGTACCATTCTCACCCAGGGGGATGGAGCAAGAGCCTGGTTCCCGTCCAGGGTCCATTGTTTGCACGTAAACTGCCTAGCCTCTCGCGTCTTTTTACTTTCTTTGCTGTTTCTAAATGACTATTCCCAAACCTCTGGGATTCCTGGGATATTCAAAGTTAAACATTCTTAGAATTGCATCTTAACTTCATCAAAACCATGCTGTTGGAATATATCCAAGAAAATGAATGTTATGTAAAACGTCTGAAGCGATTAGACCTGGCTGGTGTGGCTCAGTGGACTGAGCACCATGTGAACCAAAAGGTCTCTGGTTCCCTAGTCGGGGCCATGCCTAGTTTTCACACCAGGTCCCCAGTTGGGGGCGTGTGAGAGGAGGCTGATGGATGTTGAAGTTTCTCTCCCTCTCCTTCTCCCTTCCTCCCCCTTTCTCTAAAAGTAAATAAAATCTTTAAAAAAAAATAAAAAAATAAAAACGTTTGAAGCAATTAGCCAACACAAAGAAACTGTGGCATGCCACTCTGACCAGAAAGACCAAATAAATCCCAGTAGCCAAATTTACCTATTTCCTGTGCGCATGAAAGGCAAACAAGCTGGCCACAGGAACAAAGGCTCAAGTATATTAATTATGTAACTAGGAAGCAAATGACCATTTATGACACACATGGTTTAAGGAATAGAAACCAAAGGTTCTTTCTTCACATGACATAGGGTAAGGAGAGAAGAAAAGAAAATTAAATATTAAAAAATTGAAAAACTCCCCCCCCAAAAAAAGCCCCCCCAAAACTCTTGTTCTTGTTACTTTGACAAAAGGCAAGTTATGTCCTTTCAACTTATCCTTCCTGTTCTTCACCACAGTACCCTGAAACTCAAGAGGTCCCTTCAACAATTTCCAGCAGAATCAAGTACATCAAAAGTTGAGCCGCCTTTGAGAAACCATTTTACGGAGTTACGCAGGATTTGAGTCCGCCCTTCTGTGGCAGTCACTGGAGAAGAGGTCCTGAACGCTCTCTGCTGCGGGACCATGGCCTAGCCTAGTGTTCTGAAGGCAGCATATGCTGCCTTTCAAGTCAACCGTAAAAAGCTAGCCAATATCCAGAGTTTCCTAAGCCATTTTTAATCTCTTCCTACTCTACCTTTGAATTTGTTCCCAAATGCAAGCAGTGGATCGTGACTGAAGAACTCCGTATTTAGCTACAAACCTTCCTTTCTGCTATGGGAAAATACACAGCAGTAGTCAGAAAAGTAGGCACTGGCAATGGCAGCTGTGGCCAAGCTTTCTAACAAATACATCAAACAAAAACTAAGGGTACCAGAGGGCAGGCCCACTTGTGTATTTCACATGACCGAGGAAAAAGTCCTCTCCTAAGGTTTTATTTTCTTCCTCAGAAGTTTTCAATCAAGGTGAGCAAGTATTTTAAGAATGCTTCAGAGTATTTAATTGTTAAAAAAAAAGAATTTTTTTTTACCAGAATTTTTTTTTACCAAAAACACAGAAATCCCTTTAGTCAAAACAAACCAAACAATTAGTATTTATTCTATAAAAGTCTGTTGGAAATGTTAACACTGACAAGTTTTTGCTTGGTCACATTACAACAGAATTCGACATCATCCTGTGGGGTAATCAAAGTTAGTTCCACTAATCACATATTCAAAGTCAGGAATAATGAGTAAAATGCCTTCAGTACCTTAGTTTTGATGTTGTTTTACTGTTTGGATTATTGCAAACTTTCACCTACTGCCTCACTAAAGAATAAACTTTAAAGCATTCATTGCAGCTAATTCATAAATTTATGTTAATAGCTTAAAGAAGACCCCCAGAAAAATTAGTTGAGAATTCAGATAGCCGGAGAATCACAATCTTTAACTTTATATCTGGGAATAGTGTGCAAAAGTGAAGTTACCTACACTGAGACATATTCAGACTACTCTAAACCAGTTCCAACACTGGCCAGGACTGGCTTCCTTCTGTCTCTACGGGAATCTGTGATAAAACTGTACAAGTGCACAAGTCTACGTAACACTCCCTGTGGCCCGAGAGTCCACTAATCCCCACCTACATATTTAAAGCATTCATTTATCGTCTTGACAACTGGTCTCCACTTGAGATCCATAAGCAGTCTCTGAAAGTCCTCAGCACCCTCGGTGAACAAGTTTGCTATTCAGCAGGTAAAATCTAAACTCAAGTCAGCCTTAACAGTTTTTTAATCTTAAAAAGTTTCAAATAACTGGCCTCCAAATGTTCCCCTCTCTGACACATTTTCCCATTCCCACTGAGAACATTTTCCTACCACTGCTAATACTAGAATCACAATACAAAAAGAGCAGAAATTACAACCCAGACCTGCCAACTCCCAAACTCCTGGCCTCTCAACTTTTTCCTTGTTTAGATGAAAATTCCACCTGTTGGACAAGTTACTGACTGGAGTATACATAACAGAGGTAAAAGCCTAGCCCACAACGGGGCACATGGTAAGCCCTCAATAAATGGTAACTATTATCACCATCATGGTCATAATTTAACATTGAGTGGCCTGACAACAGAAATGACAAAATCTTTCCTGTAAAAGGACACAACTGGAGCCTACCACAGGGAAACAGGCCAGAGCGTATTCGGTGCCTAACAGTTGTCAGTACTCTCCTAAGCCCTCAGTTCTTTTTTGTCTTCTAAGTTAATTTATTTATTTAATTCTCATTACCTCCATCTTTACAGGTAAGGAAATTCAGACACTTACTCAGGTCTGACAAACCTAAAAAGACTGAATCCAGAGCCTGTGCTCTTAAACACTACTCCACACTGAACAAAGCTTTTCAAGGGCGAGTCCTCTTCAACAGAGATGGCTCTGGGGCCAGATTATTAAATATAAGATTTGAGTTTGAAAAGTCTTTGGGCCCCACCCTCCCCTGTTTAAACCTGAACACCATCCAATGCTAATTCAACATTAGAGGGTAGAACAACTTTGTTTTTAGGCGCGTAGACGGATGAGTCAGACAACTAGGTATTAAGGCCTGTTGTGAGACACATACTAGCTGGGCGACCTTAGCTTTCTGAACCTCAGTTGCCTCACCTGCAAAATGGGAAGAATAACATCTACTTCACAAGCTGTTTTGAGTATTAGTGCAGTAATTCACGTAAACCACACAGTTCAAGGCTCACTGAGTTAATCATAAGTAATGGGAACCATGGAAAAGGGGGAAAAAATAGGAACCCTCCTAGAGAGCGGAGCTCGTCCCCGGGTGTGACCCAGCAGACAGGAGAGCGAGGATCCGCCCCGCGCCCACCGCCAGAGGAGTCCGCCCTTACCGCTCTTGGGTTTAGACTCGCCGGCCGGCCCCGCCGAGGCGGAGCGTGGCGGCTGTTGCCCTTTGCTGCTGCCCGAAGAGGCGGAGGAGCTGCTGGAGCCGCTGTTCTTGTCCATGTCGGAGGCGGTGGCGGCGGCGTTGGGGGAGCTCTGCGGCATCAACTGGGGCCTCGGCGGCGGCGGCGGCGGCGGTCGGAGCGGAGCGGGCGCGGCAGGGACCCAGGCTCATGGCGTTCGGGAGCGGCGGGGGTCGGCGGCGGCAGCGGTTCTCGGCCTTCATGGCGACATTTTTCCTTGTTTCCTTACTCGGCTTCTCAAATTGGGAAGAGAAGCGGCGGGCGGGGCGGTCGAGCCCGCTGGCGGCAGTGACCGAGACGGAGGAGGAGGCCGGGGCTCGGAGGTCCGGGCCGGGCCTGGCGGGGCGGAGGCTGCGGGGAACAGGGAGGCGAGGGTGGGTGCGCGAGCCCCGCCGGCCGGCCGGACGAACACGCTCTCCCGCCGCGGGGCAGGGGAGAGGGCTGGCTGTCTTGGTGCCGGGGACGGGTGCCTCCGACACAGCGACCGACACTCGCCTCTGGGCCGAGGCCGAGAAGCTCCTGGAATGGCGACGAGTCGCCAAACAGCATCTCTAAGAACCCGGATGGACTATATATATGGTGGAGATGTGGGAGTGACGCACTCTGGGAAGTGTGGTTTTCGGCCTTCATCCGGGTCTAGGAATTTTTTTTTTTTCCTCCCCTCGGTGTGTGAGAGCGTACAGCATGATGGGACTTGTAGTCCGGGTCTTAGTAATAGCATGCTAATAATGTATGTATAACGGTAAATACTACTCCTAATTACCTATCAAAACATTGGAATACCTGTGGAATTCCTTTATTGATTCGTTGTTTAATGTATAATTCTTATATTAGAATTAATCATTTATTCATGGCTCTTATTCTATCACCTAATAACTTTAATAGCAACAATGGCAAAATCTTACATTTAATATCACTTCACAGCACTTCCTCATACAATACTTCATTTCATTGTTAGTAAGTCATTTATTAGTATAAATCACTTAATATTTCAGTTCATTAACAGTAGTCATCATTCAGTGCTTATTATTAGCAGGCACTATGCTGTGCAGTTTATAAGTTTATAACACACTTAATCCTCACAATAACTCAAATTTAAAGGCGAGTAAATGGTCTTTAAAAGCCTAGATCATTTACCCACAGTCACACAGCTAATAAGTGATGTTCTCAACTACCTACGAGATAAGCAACTCCCCATTTTACAAATACGGACACAAAGAAAATCACGTACATATTTTTGAAATTGCATTACATCCATCCTTACTTTGTAAAATTATAAATGACGCCCTTCAACAATAGCAGTTTGAGATTCAAAGAATCACATACACACAGTGGTAAAGAGACCAACGAATAATTCTTCTCAGACTAACCTTACTTGGACACCTGTTATATATATACAGGTCCTGTATTGAGCACAAGGAATACCAAACTACGTTAAAATCGAGGCTTTTAATACACTCCTAGTTTCCTTAGCTAAGCAAATTACAGCGGCTAGGCTGGCACTCACCAAGGAGAAAGCTAAAAATTGTGAAGCCCAATGGGGAGAAGCCAGACAAGTTGCAATCTAGCATCTCTCAGGCTCTTCTTGGGCTGGAAGTGAACTCGGAACTCAAGGCCCAGTTAAGGGAGCTGAATATAACAGCTGCCAAGGAAACTGAAGTTGGTGGTGGTCGGAAAACTTTTATAATCTTTGTTTCCATTACTCAATTAAAATCTTTCCAGAACATCCAAGTCCATGGGGGGAAAAATACAACAAAGATTAAATCAAAAACAAAATAAAATGAGATAAATTGCAAAAGAAAAAGAAAAAAAATCCAAGTCCGGCTAGTACATGAATTAGGAAAAAAAAGTTAAGTGGAAAGCATGTCTTTATTGCTCAAGAGTTACCTAAGTCAACTCTAAAAAGCCTACAAAAATAAGCAAAAACATCCCAGGAGCTGCAAGAGAATCGTGGTGAAACTGGATGGTGGCCAGCTCATAAAAGTTCGTTTGGCTAAAGCGCTGCAGAACACTAGAGAACAAAAGGTTGAAACGTTTTCTGGAGTCTATAAGAAGCATAGGAATAAGGATATTAATTATGAATTCCCAGAGTTCCAGTTGTAAACAAAAATGACTAAATACTGTATCATTCACAAGAAGAAAAGGAAAAAAAAAAACCACAATGAAAGATTGTGATAAAGGCTATAATAAAGTTAAGACAAAATGCTAACCAGAGCAGAAACTCCAAGAAGGACAAACAGTTGGGAGGGGTAAAAGAGGACTTCCCAGAGGTGGTGTCATTTGAGCTGAGCATAGAAGGATGAGTGGAATTTCAGCAAGTATGAACAATTAAATAGACAAAATCTTAGAATTCCCATAATTGGGCCCTTTTTGGCTCTTTATTAATCATCACATGTTATACAAAACATTAATATGTATATATAAACCAATCAGTTTCTTAAAATTAACAGTTTTAACTGAGACGAAGGAAATTAGATACTAATCTTAAATTTTTAAATTTCTTTAAAATGCCCTCCACCAGTCCTTACCTTGATTCACCATTTCCAGTTTTTCCCCCCAACAGATCATACTGAAATGAGAGAATAGCCACTGGAAATTTAATTTTATATTTAGAAGGAACAGCCTCCAATCCTGAGGTCCATTCTCATGTTTGACTAGATTTGGAAGATATACTAAGATTCCTTGATGAATTTTTTTTTAAGATTTATTTATTTTTAGAGATGGGAAAGGAGAGAGAAAGAGAGGGAGAGAAACATCAATGTGTGGTTACCTCTCCCAGGCATGCCCCCTATTGGGGACCTGGCCTGCAACCCAAGCATGTGGCCTAGACTGGAAGTGGAAAGGAGAGCCGTCACACCCCAGCCAGGTCCTTGATGAATTTTTATTTCCTTTAACAAAGATGTGAGAACTCTGATTACATGAATGAATCATTGGTTCTATCACTCGTAAAAATAAAAGACAGTAAAGGAGAAATCCCAGTGCAGTTTTTCCAAAAGAAAGTGGTAGGTGTCCGTCCATCTGCCAGGCTACATTAAACCAGAAAGAAAATTTTCATTTTCAAAATAGTTTCTAAGGGTCCTTGGCGCTTTCTCCTTGTGAAATATTTACAGAAAACATACATTTAAAAAAAGAATCAAAGAAGAAACACACAGAAATCCAAGCAAAACTCACCACCTCCATCCTCTTTTGCTCAAGATGGTCTACAATACATTACCCTTTCCATAAAAAAAATTAAAAAAGTGAAAATCTGGGTTTGAAGTAAAACACCCATGCTATGCTACTTGGAACTAGAAATGCAGCTGAGTGACAGCAGGAGAGGAAATGTGAGTGGCAATGTATTCTGACTTTCTAAGATGCCAGAGCTTGCTTTCTCATTTCTTTCCGATGTTTACTATGCAGAGCCGTCTAGCATGATTTTTAAGAACGGTCTGCGAATTCCTCACATCAAAATCACCCGAAAAGTTTGGTCAAATAAAGATTCCCAGAACCCCTATCAGATTTACTGATTCAAAAACTCTAGTATTTGGAGCCTGGTAATCTGCATTTTAAAGATCAAACCACGTTATTCTTATGCACACCCAAGTTTGCAAGAATTAACCTGTAATCTTAGCCTCTTACCACACTTTACCCCAGTCCCCCGACCTTCACCAGAAAACAAGTTATTTGGTTATCTTTCAAGTTGGTACTGGTACTGGTACTGGTACTGGTACTACTACTGTTTAGCAAGGTTTAGAGACATGGCTGCGGAGAGGTGACTGGAGGCTCTCTCTAAGGTCCACTCACTGCTGGTGAATTCTATGTTCAATTTCGGAAGACTCCGGATTCCAGAGATCAAGCACAGATCCCTATCAGGTTTCAGGACGCGTTCGGCTACTGTCTCCGGCCGGCCGCCGTCGGCCGTCTAGTGATGCAACCGTGACGTACTGTCTGGCTCCTGTTTCTCGACTGTCAAGATGGCGGCCCCCAGGAGTTGCGCTCTATGGGGCAACTGCAGCCGTGGGTGGTCGCGGATGATGCGGGGCTGCCGGCTCCCTGGGCTTCGTAGCTCCTGGCCCGGGGGCACGCTGGGTGCGCGGCTCTTGTCCCACGAGAAGCAGGCAACGGAAACTCACTTCGGGTTTGAGACTGTGTCGGAGGAGGAGAAGGGGGGCAAAGGTGAAAGGGGCGAGAGGGCGGATAGTGGGATCTGACCGTCTGCTATCTAGTTTCTTCTGTCCAGCTAAGGGTTCACTTAACGTCCTGTTAGGTCAGCTCCGGTGCTGTAGCTTGTGCATTCCTGACATCCAAGGAGTACCCTCCAGCCTGACCCTGTGAGTGTAGAGCTCAGATGCCTTCTCTATTAAGCAAAGCAATTATCACTAAATCCCATCAATTTAGCGTTTATAATGTGCCAGGCGCCGGGCAGACATTTCCAATTTTCGTTTCAACTTCTTGATGATGGGTATTGTTTTCCCCAAGTTCCAAATTGAAACTTGAAGGTTAAGCAAGAACTTGTCCAATTTAACATAGTAAGTGGTGGAATCAGTAAACTAATATTCGAATCCAGTTTGGTCTGAATTATAGAGACCACGTTCTTGACCTCTTGCTAGAGGGATAGGTCTTCTTTATTTTATTATTTTTTTTAATTGAGTTGGGAGAGAAAGAAACATCAATTTGTTGTTCCACTTGTGGATTCATTGGTTGATTCTTTTATATGCCCTGACCTGGGGTGAATGCAAACCTGGTATCTGGCAAGGATGTTCAAATCAACTGAGCTACAAGACCAGGGCAGGAGAGGTCATTTTTTTCATAGAAAGGAAAAAGGCCAGTATCTTCTCTGTACCTCGGTTTCCAAATTTGCCAAGTAGGATTAATAGTAACCTTTTTCTTTGAGTTCTTGTGAGGATTAGATTTACTTCATACATTAAAATTAAAATATTTTTTAAAAATAAATAAAGTATTTTGAACCATGCCTGACACTTCATAATTGTTCAAGAAATATTAGATATTATCAAGCAGTTTCTTTGAGTCCAGCATTGTGCAGGCATGGGAAGGAAAAAGAACAGTTTTAAAACTCCAAATGTACCATTTATAATGAGGAAAGTATTATTTCCATTTTACAGATAACGGCTCTGAGATGTTCCTTCACTTAGCCTATGGTCACCCAGGAAATAAGAAAAAGAGTCTACAATGGAATTTCCCACCCTCTTAAAGATTACTACAGTGTATTACCTCTCATCTCAACCTTACTAATTGTGTAACTCTACTGTAACTCTTTGAATATTGAATTAAATTAACATTGATTTCACTGTGCATCCCTAGAAAGCTAGAACAGTGGCTCATTCATGTCTATATTTCAGCACCTGATGCACGTTAGGAGTTTTATAATTGCCTGTAGAGTCACATAAGTGGAGCCAAGTAAAACAATGGTAAATATTTACTGAGAGCCTAAAACCTTTTAAAATACTTTACAATGATTCTTATAAATACAACCCAATGAAATAGGAACTATTAGCCTGGTTTTATAGATGAATAAACTGTGGAAACAGAGATATTAAGTCACTTTCCCAGGATTCGCTAGGAAGCTATAAAGCTGGCATTTGAATCAGGTGGTTTGCTTCCAAAATATCAATAATGCCCAACCTCTATATTTTGCTTTACAGTATATAAACTTCGCACACCATGACAAGCAGGGGGATGAGTTACCCACTGAGCTAAATACAGCTTCCAGATTTAAGACCCAAGATTGAAGTGCAGGCAAAATCTTTCCTTTACACAGTGATGCAGGATGGTAAAAGTAAGCATGCAGGCTGAAATCCTGCACAATGATCTTAATAACATGAAAAATGTTAATAATTCCATGACCTTTAAAAGTATGGAACATCAAAAACTCTGAATGTCAGTTATAAATGTACAGGGAAATAAAAAAATAGTAAAGGTAATACTTCTTTAGCACACTAATTATAAATTAGGCTTAATTTTATATATTTTTTAAGATTTTAATTTGATTAATTAGAATTTTTAAATTCAAGTTTAAATTTTTAAATTAAAGTTCTAATTAAAAATTAGAAGCATTGAGAATTAAGTTGTTTCATTCCCCTGTAAAAAATTTACTAAGAGTAGTTTGAACAGTGTTTGCAACTTTCTCATCATATAATTTAAAATAGGGAGTGAGCATCTTCTCTATGCCTTGGCAAATTGCCATACTCTTTTCTACGTTTTCATTTTCTAACATTTTATGCTTTCATATTCATTGTCTTGCTATATCTCCAAGTATTCCTTCAATGTGAAATTTTTGCTGGCATGTTTTCATCTGGGACATCTTCAACACTTTCATCACAACCACATCCTCATTTACGTCCATAAGTTCACGTTACAAAGTTCTGGCTGCGTATCTAGTCCCTCAGGTGGCGGCAGTATCAGCATTCCCACAGTCAGCAGTTTCTCCTATAACTCCATTGACATTCTATTTAAATTTCACTTCCACATTATCACTCTTCATTTCTTTGCTGCACTCTCATTTTTATTGGCCAGTTTCCTCTTAATTATCCAGTTTTGTAAAATGCCACATGTTTACAAAAGAAGTAAGGAGGTTACACAACTATGCTTTGCTGTCTGTGAGTGAACTGAATAACTCGCGTATAGTGACCTACCATTTACAAACTGAAAGCTGTGACATGACTGGTTATTGATCAGGATGCATGTCTGTAATGTGTCGACCGAAGAACCACTAGTGAAGTTTGTACTTTATGCAATTATTATATGATGGAATATAATATACAATGGGATATAACATCCTATTGTATTTGAATGATGTTTTGGGGGGGACTAGTGTTAACTAAGCCACAGTATCTGAAATTCATGCATATTGGAACCATGCAAAGCTAAGGTCAGTGGGTTGACCTTAAGGTCAGTGCTTATACTCAGTGGGTTGAGCCTTAGTGCCCCTCAATTCCCCAAAAGATGTTCAAAAGAAAAAAGCAACCTGGAGATACCAGGATTGAGAATAGGCATTCAAGATCAAGTTAAAGGGGAGATAACCAGGATTGAGAATAGGCATTCAAGATCAAGTTAAAGGGGAGCAGAGGGCAGTACTGTTTTGGGTCTATCCAGCACATTTCGTCTGAGCAACTCAAAGCATCTCCCCTTCACTACACATTTCAGCCTTAATGGCAGGGAGGTAGGGGTCTGGCACTGATTTCTCATGGGCAGAGAAGCTGAGGTGCAAAGAACTTAGATATAGGCTTTGCCTTAAAGTTTCTTGGACAGTAAATTCACTCTCTTGCTAGCCCAGATGCCACATTCTGCCTTGATCCTATGATGACTCATGAGGACCCTCTACAATGTAACTTGACCCTGATTCACATCCAGCCAGCCATCTGCCCACCAAATTGTACCTGAGGTTTCTCTCAGTGATACAGGCAGAGATGAGCTGAGGCCTCCCCATCCATTGGTCAGCTATCTTTCTAAAGGATTTTACTGTCTTGTATTATAATAACCATTGGAAAAAATTCCACCACCACCACCCCATCCTCTAAGAAACAAACCTATTTAATACCAGGTTTGTTCATGGCACGATTACAAAGTGATGACTCTAAGCCCTAGCCTGGTAGCAATGTTGGTTAGAGCGTCATCCCAATACGGGGAGGTTGTGGGTTTGATCCCAGTTGAGGGCACATAGAAGAAGCAATCGATGAATGCATAAATAAGTGGAACAACAAATCAATGTTTCTTTTTCTTTCTCACCCCCTTACTTTTCCTCTAAAATCTATCTTTTAAAAAAAGAAATGGTCGTAAAGATAACTAAGTAGAAAAGAGGTTCATTTCTTATATGAAGTAATATAAACGTTTTTTAAAAGAGGCAATATGAAGGTATAGATCTGGGCATTAAGTATTATGGCTTGAGTTTACCATAGAGTGACAGGCAACTTCATGGGTGGGGGGAAGCTTCCTTCCCTTTCACTTAGGAATTTTCCAAGTTAATCTTGTCAGTAACACAATTGTGTCCTGTTTCATGTCAGTCTATCAGGTGTTTGAAAGTGTGGCCAAGAAGTACGATGTGATGAATGATATGATGAGTCTTGGTATTCACCGTATTTGGAAGGATTTGCTGCTCTGGAGAATGCACCCATTTCCTGGGACCCAGCTACTCGATGTTGCTGGAGGCACAGGTAATGACCGTGTTAGTCTCCAGGTACCACTGAGCACCTTTTACAGAAGCTAGTTAGTGTCCCTTGTTGCAATGAGCTACCTCACCTACCATTAGTTTGAAGATGGTAGTTGAAAATCAGTACACTTCTAAGAAAGGTTTACTCTTCTCTTTTAACTGAATGTTAATCAAAAGCATAGAATATCAGCTTTGTGCCTGTCACTTTTCTAAAATGCACAGGATTACAAAGTAAAAAGACCAGTGTTTACTCCAGTGACACTTCATCATCTAAATGGTTTTTACCTTTTGTTTAACCTTTGGCCCATTTTCTTTCTGTGGGGGATGCCTCCTTTGTTACTTGGCTCACACTAGACATTTGGGGGAAAAAATATCATGCACTTCTAAAATGCATCTTGGGGGTATTATTACGTGGTTAATATACATGTTAAATTACATTAGAATAATGTATAAGTACTGCAATAATGTGATTATCTATACCACCAAAATAATGTATAATAAATTACAATAGAATAATCTCCATGTTTGGAATGAATGTGTGGTTTTGTTGGTATGGTCCTCTCCCCAAATGCATTGTTAGAAGGCAGTGGAAAATCCTGCTCAGTGGAGGGCAGTTCAACAGAATCTTATCAAAATCTAAAATGCTTATAGTCTAAAAAAAAGAACCCAAGAGAATTGTCCTGCCTGGTGGGGCTCAGTTGGTTGGGCATCATCCCATAAAGCAGAAGGTCACCGGTTCGATTCACGGTCAGGGCACCTGTCTGGGTTGCAGGGTCACGCTCTCGTCAGGGCACGTACAAGAGGCAATCTGTCAATGTAGTTTCTCTTTCACGTTGATGTTTTTCTCTGTCTCTTTCTCCCTCCCCCCGTCTCTAAAAAATTAAAATTAAAATCGAAAAAAAACAACTTGCACAAAGATAAAGCTACTGAAGGGGTTCAGTCACAGCTGCCTGTATCTCCAGTGTACCATAACCAGCAGTATTACTTCATGCTGATAACTACCCACTTAGAAAATGTAATTAAGAGATAATCTCATATATTTAAAAAGACATTTTAAAAATATATAACTATAAATATGCTCACTGCATATTTATAACCAATTTATCCCTCAATAAAAAAATGGCTTTAAATTAAGACATATCCATTCTATGAAATATTATGTAGCTATTTAAGAGAATGAGCAGGAGGAAAACCTATAAATACTGAGGGAAAATCTCAAAGACATTAAATGGGGAAAAAAGAAAGCAGTCATATAGCAATGTAAAACATGATCCCCATTTATATTTTTAAGTTGTTTCATGTGAGTACATATAAGTGTACTGAAATACATAAAAAGGTGGCTGGGGGGATACCAAAGTGGGTAGAGAGACTGGAAAAACTTAAGGATGCATTTGTTTTTGTTTTCAAGATTTTATTCATTTATTTTTAGAGAGACAGGAAGGGAGGGAGAAAGAGAGGGAGAGAAACATTGATGTGTGAGAGATACATCAACCAGTTGCCTCTCACGCCTCCCCCAAACCGGGAACTTGGCCTATAACCCAGGCCTGTGCCCTGACTGGGAATCATATCAGTGACTGCCGGGTTCACAGGCGGGCACTGAATCCAATGAACCGCACCAGCCAGGGCAAGGATGCATTTCTTGCAGACAGTGTAAGAAAAACAAAGACAAGGAAACGGCATTATAAAAAAGGAAATGTGATCCTGGAAAGTACTGACTTGGTGTGAACAGTATTTACCTGGTCACAATAATGTAAACACTTTCATTTTCACCTCTTAGACTCAAACTATCAACAAAGTGCAGAAAACATCCTTAGCTATAAAACAAATAAAATGTTATCAGTCTTGACAGAGTAAAAGTACGTAAGATGGAAGGTTTTAGGGAGTCAAGAGATACCATCTGTAGTTGAGGGGATAAGAAATAAAATATTAGCTAGTTTATTACTCTGGGTTACAAAGGTATCTATGAAAAGTGATATAACTATATTGAGAAGATAGAGGCAAGAAGAGATGGGGGCAGGATGTCATTTTAAATTTGGTAAGTAAAGAAATAGCTGCAACCTGTAGAAGAATGAGCCAAAAGAGTTGGGCAAGATGGTCTCTGGGGAACTGAACTGGGAGAGAGAAATGATGGGACAGAGAATTATTGCTTTTAACTATACCCGTATGTTACTTTCATAAAAATTTTTAGAAAAAGAGTAGAAGGCTACACACTAAGCCCTTTTTTTTTTTTGAGGTTTTTATTTATTGTTTAGAGAGAGGAAGGGAGGGAGACAGAGAGGGAGAGAAATATCAGTGCGTGGTTGCCTCTCGTGCACCCCCTCCTGGGGATGTGGCCCACAACCCAGGCATGTGTCCTTGACTGGGAATTGAACCAGCAACCCTTTGGTTCTCAGGTTGGCACTCAATCCACTGAGCCACACCAGCCAGGGCTACACACTAAGCTCTTAATACTTATTATGTATGGAAAAGGTGTGGACAGAGAATGCGACTTTCATGTTTTATTCTATATATTGAGATATTGAGTCTTTTATAGTAAGAATATGTCCATGCATTGTTTTTACAATTTTTTAAAAAGTTTTTTAAAGAATCCTAGAAGTTAAAAAATAGCAGTTACCATGGAGATAAGTGCAAATTTCATTTTCGTACACTCGTCAACTTCTATTCCTTTGTCGCCCCTTTTGGACTTAGGAAATGCTGAGGTTTTGTTTATGTTTCCATCTGTCCTTCTCTTGGCACAGGTGACATTGCATTCCGGTTCCTTAATTATATTCAGGCACAGCATCAGGGAAAGCAGAAGAGGCAGTTAAAGGCCCAGCAAAATTTATCCTGGGAAGAAATCGCCCAACAGTACCAGAATGAAGAGGATTCCTTGGGCGGCTCCCGCGTTGTGGTCTGTGACATCAACAAGGAGATGCTGAAGGTTGGAAAGCAGAAAGCCCGTGCTCAAGGATACAAAACTGGCAAGTCCTACAGAAAGTAGACACAGAGAAATGTTTGTATGTTTACCAAATAAGAGGGAATATGGAGAATGTTGAAGTGCTTTATTGTCCCTCTTTTAAAAACTTAGATAGGAGTTAAAGGTAATTCGTGAGGATGAATCTGCTTTGTATGGTAGTATACATCATTTCAGCCACCCAAGAAATTAGATTATCAGCCCTATCTGAAGGTGATATGACCAAAGCCCCAAAGAGATTACATATCTTACTAAAGTAACATGATTTAAATGGCAGATCTCAAATTGGAGCTGAATCTTCAGATCTCAGCTCCTGGATCCTAAGACAGAAGTTCGTTCTGCTTTCATTTTCCAGCAACTCCCCAGTGACCCCAGATGACCTATTCTTGAGCACCTCCATTCTCCTGTCAGTACTAGGATGGTTTGACTGATGCGGAAGCTGAGCGGCTGTGCTCCCTTAAGGAAGGGATGTGCCCGTCAGCCACACGAGTGTAGTTAGCTGACAGCCTCCAGCTCTTACTTAGCACTGGCAGGTTCTGCCTCGGCTTTCCAGCCACGCTCCTGTGGCAGCGCCCCGCTGACGGCTGAGCACCAGCGAGCTGCCAGGGCCTGGGCAGTTCCCAAGAGGGATTCTGGGGCAGTCTTCGTTCCAGAGCCCCCTGCCCGGTAGGCCGAAGCTTTCTCAGATCTGCTCCAAGGTGACGTGTGTCCCCACTCAGTCTTGCTTCCTCCTCGTTTTATCTTTCCCAGGTGCCCCCCAACCCCAAAACAAAACAACCCTTTGCGTTCCATCTCAGCATCAGTTTCTTAGAAGGGCCAACTGATACGGTTGAAGAAACATCCGTAAACAGAACAGCAGGTCCTGGAATGATGTTTTTTGTTAACGTCATTTTGTTAAAGTGTTGATAAGGAAAAAAAGTTTTCTGATCCCTGGCCAGGACCACTGTCTGTGTGGAATTGGCATGTTTGGCCCCCGTCTGCGTGGGTTTTCTTCGGTTACTTCAGTTTCCTCCCACAGCCCAAAGCTGTGCATGTGAGGTGGATTGGCCTGTATAAATTGTCCCAGTGTGAGTGAGGGAGGGTGGGTGTGAGTGTGTCCTCTGATGGAACGGTGTCCCGTTCAGGACCTGTCTCACTTTTCAACCTGAGCTGTCAGGAGAGGCTCCGCCCACCTGCAACCCTGAACTGGAATAATCAGGTCGGAAAGTCATTATCTGATTTGTTTCTATCAATCTTTCTTAACTGTATCAATAGCTCCCATTTATTTCAATGCTTAATATTAGAAGGGTTTTGAGTCTTACTTTAGAACTTGGGTGATGTTTCTGTGACCAGAAAAATGCTGTAGGAACTTAACTCTTATTTATGGCAATGAGCCTGTGGTCAAATTGGTGTGTTACCCGTCGTTTCACTTAAAGTTGTAGTTTCCAAGAACCTAGCAACGATGTTAAGTGAGCAGTTACTGGACTCCCAAAGCGCAGTATGCTCGACAGCAGGCAGGAGAGCGACTGCGTATCTCCCAGGAAACCACTGCAACCACAAAGTGGACAATTTGTGGCCTGTCTTGAAGATGCACATTTTGGAAGGATTTATCTCAGTTGGTTCAGAAAAGAAAAAATAAGACATACATTTTACATTTGGCTGTTTGTTTTAATATTTAAAAAAAAAAATTTTTATTGACTGATCTGAGAGAGAGGGAGGAAGGAAGAGAGAAACATCAATTTGCTGTTCCACTTATTGATGCCTTCACTAGTTGCTTATACGTGTCCTGACCAGAGACTGAGCCTTGGTGTATCGGGATGATGCTCTAACCAGTTGAGCTACCCAGCCAGGGCTTGATATTTACTTATTCATTTATTTATTTTTATGTATTGAGTCTGGGGAGAGAGAGGAAGAGGGAGATAGACATTGATCTGTTGCCCCACTTATTTAGGCATTCCTTAGTTGATTCTTGAATGTGCCCTACCTGGGGATGGAACCTGAAGCCTTGGCATATGCTCAGACCAACTTAGCTACCTCGCCAGGACCTGTTTGTTTTAATATTTTGAAGCACTACCTCCCCTGCCCCCTTCTTTTTCAAGTAGAGGCAATGATCCCGGCAGCCGCACCATGTTTCCCCAGCTTCTCAGAGCCGCTCTCCGCGCGCTCCCATGCTGCCCAGGCACTGCAGGCAGCCATTATGAGAGGCAGTGGCGTGCAACAAAGGAAACAAAGTCCCACGGGTCAGCATCAGCGCTTCTCGCCTTCCCTCCCCCACCAGGAGTGCCTATGGCTATTCCTGCTCAACTCTTTCTCTTCCTCCTCCTGCTTGGAGAACAGCTGCTTACACCAAGGGCAGCCCACTTGGCCCCCAAGATGAAGGGCTCTTTTGTTAACCATCAACACTGACCAGAAGGCAGACAGTCACTAGTGTTTTTAGACAAAGGCACTATGTTTCCTTACTCCTACTGAAAAACGTGTTTCCTTCTCTCTGGTACTCAGACATTAAGAATGGCAACAAAGACAGAAATGATAAGTAATGTTTCATTTCTGGAATCATCTCTTCCACAGCATAGCTTGCGCCCCAGGCTCTCCTAACTGCAAAGACAAATCCACCTGCAGAGGAATCATTAAATGTCAGATAGTACAGTTGTCTCTATCTTTCCTACTTGCTTTATCAATCTTCAATAATAATGCCTTTGCCAAAAAAAAAATACCATGCAAAAATTGTTGAAGCTATATAGTAGGATCCTAGAAATTATTTAATAAATGTAAAGTTAATGAGTAAAGACATTTTTATGTGTAGCACTGTTATATGTGTGTGTGTTTTACATTTAGGTATAGCACTTTCTTCCCAAATGTAAGCTGTGAAGTCAGCAGCCTTAGATTATTTGATGGGTTCTAAAAGTGATATGTTTGAGGGAAATTTTAGATTTCTAAATATAAAGTTTTGGAAAAATTACTAATAAAGTAAATGTTACCCATAATTCTAACATCTAGAGATACTTTTCAATATTTTAACAGACTTCTCTCCTTTTTTCTAATCATTTCCTTTTTGTAAAATTGAGAACACCATGTATATACAATTTAGTATTCTGCCTTAATTCATCATTATAATATGAGATTTTTCCATATCATTAAAATTCCCTTAAAATCATTATTTTTACGAAATTTTCCCAGATGGATGTTTCATGAATCATATGACCAGTTTACATAACCAATAACCAATTGATCTTTCATATCTTTCATTTTTTTCTAATGTTTTTGAGTATAGCACAGCATTGCGACATCCTTATTTGTACATTTTTGCATGCATTCATTAGTATTTTGGTTTTGGAGTGTTTTTTTTTTTACTGACTATATAACCTTGGACAAGGGTTTAAACTCTCTACATCTCAATCTTTGAAATGGAGAAAATAATAATCACCTCATAGTAGACAGTACTATAGAATAGCTCTTAGAAACATAGGCTCTGACCTGGCTGGTGTGGCTCAGTGGATTAAGTGCTGGCCTGCAAAACAAAGGGTTTCAGGTTCAAGTCCCAGTCAGGGCACGTGCCTGGGTTGCAGGCCAGGTCCCCAGTCGGGGGTGCTTGAGAGGCAATCACACAATGATGTTTCTCTCCCTCTCTCCCTCACTTCTCCTCTCTCTAAAAATAAATAAATAAAATCTTTAAAAAAAAAAAAGAAACATAGGCTCTGAGATAAAACTACCTGAATTCTTAACCATCTGTGTGACAGACAAGCTACTTTAACCTTTTTGATACTAAACTTTGCTCGCCTGGAACATCAGGATGATAGTAACAGCTATCTCATGGAGTTGGTATGAGGATATGAGAAAATAACATATGTACACTAGTCCCCTCTTATCCATGGAGGACATGTACCAAGACCCTTAGTGAATGTCTGAAATCTCATGTAGTACCGAACTCTATACATACGTACTATGTGTTTTCCTATATATACATGCCTATGATAAAGTTTAATTGACAAAGTAGGCACAATAAGAGATTAACAACAATAACTAATAATAAAATAGAACAATTATAATAATATACTATAATAAAAGTTTTGTGAAGGTGGTCTCTCAAATTTTCTTACTGTTCTACACTCACCCTTCTTGTGATGTGAGATGATACAAGGCAAACCGATTCCTGAATGTGTGTAACCACCTCTCGCTTGCAGTAAATGGTTCAGTGTCATTCATTTCAAGAGATCCCTTGCTAGGCGCAGTGTTTTCTGGTGCAACAGGTTGCCATCAGTCAGAATATGTTTTCTATTCATATCATCCACCCTACAAACGTAATGCCTTTTCCATCTTAACTAAGAACGTATCATACATGGGGACTGTAATGTTTGCAGTTTGAGGTGCAACAATGAAACTAGAATTTCTTTTTGAAAAAAAAAAGATTTTACTTATTTATTTTTATTATTTTTTTAATTTAAAATTAACTTATTTTTTCAACTTATTTATTTTTAGAGGGGGGGGAGAGAGAGAGAAAGAGAAACATCAACTTGTTGCCTCTTGCACGCCCCCAAGTGGCAACCTGCTCCACAACCCAGGCATGTGTCCTCACTGGGAATCGAACCTGTGACCTTTTTGGTTCTTAGGTCAACACTCAATCCACTGAGCCACACCAGCCAGGGCAAGTTTCTTTTCCTCCTTCACAATCTCACCAATAGAAGGTTCATTTTTACCATAGATCGTAGCCACGTCAGCAGAAAACTTTTTTTCCTTTCCTTATTAAGTGGACAACTTTTACCGTCTCACTTAAAAGAAGCACTTTACAGCTTCTCTTTAGCATGTCCAAATTGCAGTCTTCTCCACTCTAGCACTCTGAGATCATTATTAAGTAAAACAAGGCTTACTTGAACACGAGTGTGACAGTCATCCCAGTAACTGAGTGACTAATGGGGGAGTAGCATGCACAGCGTGGAGATCCTGGACAAAGGGGTGATTCACACCGCGGGCAGGACAGAGCAGGACAGCGGGGGACACAGCAAGATTTCCTCACGTTCCTCAGAACAAGCAATTTAAAATGTGTGAATTGTTTATTTCTGGAATTTTTCATTTAATGTTGTTGGACTACAGTTGACTATGTGCAACTGAAACCACAGAAAGTGGAACCTCGGACAAGGGGACACTACTGTAAAGTGATAACAGAGACCCTGCCATCAGGGGTCCAGTAAGCAGTAGCTATGACGTCATCAGTGTCCTCCTCCTAAAAATCAAAACAGCTGGGTCTAAGGGTATGCTTATTTTTAAAGGTCTTGTTAAATACTGCTGGTTTGCTTTCCAGAAAGGTTATTTTCATTTGCCTTCCTCTACAGAGCTTTCCTTCTATGTCATATATTATGTATCATGCACTGCAAATTGAATAATGTTAAAGCTGAGTCAGGATCCTTAGAGGATATAGCCACTCCAATAAGGGGTTCTCTTAGGTTTTTTCTGAATATGTGATCAGACTTGCGGTCTAGACACTTTGATTCTTTATGACTCCATTAGAACCAATATAACAGTGCTAAATTCTGTACTTAGAATACTTCTGATGACCGTCTGAAGTAGGTACTATTGTTAACTGCATTTTACAAATGAGGAAACTGAGGCAGAGTAGTGTTTTCAAGACTATACAGCTAATAAATGGTAAAGCTGGAATTAGAACCCAGGCAGCCTAACCCCAGGATCTGGGCACCTAACCACAGAACAATACAAAACACTTAGTTGAGTAGAAACTGCTTGAAGGTAGGCATAAGTAGGTAAGCATCAGGTAAGCATCTCAGAGTTGTGGGAAAAAGGACTTCCCCCAAACTTCAAGGACACTAGCCTCAAGTTCTCAGGACTGGGGGCCACCCATGAAGACAGTGGCCAGGAATCCGAGGGAGAAAGCGGGTAGATGTTTTCTGACACGACTTCTGATACCAAGTGTGTAACGTTTGCCTGTCACCAAACAATTCTCCAATTCTCCCACACCAACTACGTGTCTGGGAGTTCAGTTCAATTCTGTCAGGTAACTACCCAAAGTTAGCATCAGCTTCCACAGGTTTTAGGGCTCAGCTCTCCAAGACTGCCCCCAATTTAGGAGCCAGCTGCAAATGGGTGCCGAGGCTGTCCAGCTTCTGCCTGGCTAACTACAAATTTGGGAGTTCTCACGCCCCCCTCAGGTTTGGCAATTCGCTGGGTGCAGAAGAGACAGCTACCCAGGCTGAGATGAAAACTGCTATTCTCTTCTAGGACTTTCTTGGGTATTGGGAGATGCTGAAGAACTACCCTTTGATGATGACAAGTTTGATGTTTACACCATTGCCTTTGGGATCCGGAACGTCACACACATCGATCGGGTACGAATGGCTGCATCTCAGGATATTAGTTCTCCCGGAGTGGCTCCACAGTGAATGAAGATGGAGAGATTTTTTTCTGGGTTCGGCTCTTGAGTGGAGTGACTGTTTCAGAGTCAGGGGCCTCAATCCTTTAAGTTGCCAGTATTCCTAGACACAAAATTGGTAAGAACCAAAACCATAGAACAGATTCCTATAGAGGCCTTAGTTGCCTGGGTTGGTATTTAAATCTTTGAGACTGTCAGTCTTGCTCTGATATTCCATCAGTTTCCCCTCATCTGACCCTGTGAGTTTGCAGAAGCTCAGAGGAATTTCTGAGGCTGACACAGAAAAAGGCACTCAAACATTATTTTGGCAAAAGGTAGCTGGTAGATTTATGGTTCCTCTACAGAGAGAAGGGAATGTTTGGTTCTTAATCTGTTGCAACTCTTCTTTATTACTACTTTAACATTCCATCCATAGCTTTTGAAGACAATGTGCAAGGTACCAGTTTCATTTTTGTGATATGGGATCCAGTTACCTGATTCTTCTGCTCTGGTTGGCACATCCTTTACAATGGCCTTTAGCCTGGTTTCTGTGATCTGTCCTGTGACTGTAGCCACAGTTTATTATTTCTTTACTTTTTTAAAGGTTTTATTTTTCTTTATTCTTAGAAAGAGGGGAAGGGAGGGGAAAAGAAAGGAGAGAAACATTGATCTGTTGCCTCTCGTATGCCCCCAGCAGGCGACCTGGCCCACAACTGACGCTTGTGCCCTGACCAGGAATTGAACCGGTGACCTTTTGGTTTACAGGATGATGCCCAACCTACTGAGCCCACCAGTCAGGGATTTTATATAATTAAAAAGAAGTAGAATAGATTCAAAGTTCAGAAGGTACAAATGGGTATATAAGTGAAAGTCTTCCTCCCACCCTTGCATCCCAACTATTCAGTACTTCCTCTCCCTTCAATCACCAATTTCTTGTGTATCTTTGCAAAGATGTTTTGTGCATATTAAATGTATTTATTTTTTCCCTCTTTTTAATACAAATATTAACATGTGAAATGTTTTTCCTATTGCTTTTTCTCCTCAAAAATATATCTTGGAGATTTTCCCATGTCAGTACATAAATAACACTGACTCTTCCTTTTTTCAATAGCTGCATAGATTCCCTTTGTACAGCTGTTCCATAATTTAACCAGTCTCTCATTAATGGCTAAGATGCTTCTAATCTTGTGCTGTTCAAATAGCGCCGCATGTCATTTCCATAGCCGAAGCATTTCTGTAAGATATATTCCTTAATGTAAAATTACTTGATCAAAGAGGATATCCATTGTGATTTTGATAATTCAAAATTTGCCCTCATGGGGGTTGTACCAACCGGAGTACGTTTAGATTACTCCAAGTAACCTTCTCTTCATGAGCAGCAGAAGGCCTATAAAATTAAGGATGTCGTAGGGTTATTTCTGCTGTTACAGCTTCCCAACTGAGAATAAATAAGGGGCGTGTGGGAAATGGTAACATTTATAATGCCCACAGAAGCTAAAGCTGCCTTCGCCTCATGGACTTGAATGAGGCTGCTGAGGAACGTGTTCTTTTGTCCCCTTTCTCGCTCAGGCACTCCAGGAAGCCCACCGGGTCCTGCAACCAGGAGGACGGTTTCTCTGTCTGGAGTTTAGCCAAGTCAACAATCCCCTTGTGTCCAGGTCTGCATTGTTTACAGGGATTGATTCTCATCGTTCAGCCAAGGATTCCCATTCCAAAATGGATAGAAAGTAGCCAGTAAGCAATAAGCATACACCTCATAGTTCATGCCCAGACTCCCTGAGGGATAGTGCCACCTCGGAGGTCCACCACTCCTGAAGAACGACGTCTAGGCCAGGAGAGCCTCAAGCCAGCAACCAGAGGCTTGAGTCTGTCCACAGATTTTGTTTGACTCCTGGCATTTTAAGAAGTTGACTTAGATGTCCATATTTAAAAATCAGAAGTCTACATAAAAATCTAGATTTCCGGCTTCACTTGAGAAATCAGATACTAGGGCAACCCCGGGTAAGCCGAATTCCTACATGGCCATAGTCAGAGCGGAGTGACTGCCCCTTCTCCGCTGTTACAGTGCTTCCCAACTGTGCCTGTCACCACATCCTCACCACTCCCTACTGATCTTGCACCTGGCTCACCTCACTTATTTTAGGTTCTTGCTTGACCCCTACAGGCATTAGAGTTTATGACCCCCAGGCTTAGACCTTCCTTCTTATCAAGGGGCATGTTCTAACCTTAATCTTTGACCTTTTTGTTTAGGCTTTACGATCTCTATAGCTTCCAGGTCATTCCAGTCCTGGGAGAGGTTATTGCAGGAGACTGGAAGTCCTACCAATACCTCGTGGAGAGTATTCGACGGTTCCCATGTCAGGTACAAAACTTCTGTAGCTTACAACAAAGGCCCTAAAGGTGAAATCCTGGGGATCCTTGCTGTATCTCCCTTTGTGTTTTAGGAGGAGTTCAAGGAGATGATAGAAGATGCAGGTTTTCAGAAGGTGACTTACGAAAGTCTAACATCAGGCATTGTGGCCATTCATTCTGGCTTCAAACTATAACTCCTTTGGCATCCTGGAGTGTGAATCACTCACATCCTGCCAGACGCCTGCAACTGAAAGATAGTCAGGCGGGTGAGACCAGCAGCAGAATGTCTCCTCCTAATATGTGCCTTGGACTCTTTTCTGATATGACCAAGCTCAAAGTGGAAGAAACAAATTCCTGTCACTTTATTTCAGCTTTCATTAGGAACTGCTTCAGGTCTTCTCCCTGAGGTATTGGGTATTTTTTGCTCAATTCCTGTGATTTTTTTTCTCAGCTCTGCAGTGTGTGGTTTGGGTAAAACCAGCACTAAAGCGGTTTTGAAGCATGTTTGTAGTTTCTCTGCTGGTGCTGACTTCCAGAGGGAAAATGAATTATTTCAATCTAATGATTTGAACCAGAAAACGTCCTAACTGTACCTGAGTCAACCTCTCATTCTAGGACTGGTTGGAGGCCAAAAGCCAAGGCTGAACAGAGGGCTAACGATCCTTAGAATTATGTACTGAACCACTAAATGAGTTTACAATTTGTATGGTCTTTGTGGGGTTTTTTTGAGGGAAATATACTTGTCATTCATTCAGAGCCAGTGTTGTGCCCTCCATGCCTGTCATGAAAAAAACAATTCAACAACTCCTCGAAAGAATAAATGTACCAGCAAACTCCTGCGTTAATGTTTTATACAGAGAGCTTGTCATAATACATCTGAAGACAGACTTTTACAGCAAAAAAGTTTGAAAACTATTTAGTCTAACCCCCCCTCCCGTCTTCAAGGTTCTTACATCCTTAATACAGTAATTGGTGTTAAAATCAGGCATGTTTCGAATGTGGATAGAGCTTAGAGTTTTTGTGGGGCTTGCTAAGTAAGAAATTGCAGAAACCAACCTGTGAGTTGGTTGGCAGTTTAATTGGTTAGCTCAGCACAGGGCTATTTGAAAAGGCTTCCGATACGCGGCCTCTAGTCCCAGCACAGTAGGGGTCATTTATGTACCTTCACTCTTAACATCTTGCTCTGTTGCCAGAAAGCGTTCAGATACAGCAAGCTATATGCAACTATCATAAAGACAGCAACTAGCATTTAATAAGATGCTAAACGTTAGAAAAATTGTAGCTTACCTTTTTTTCCCCAGGTAGCTGGAACCTATGGGCCTTTGACATTAACAAGGAGCAGGCACTAGACGGAACTTCATAAACCTTCAACCCAGTTCTATCTCCACAGCAATGTGGTTTCCTCATATTTGACTCAAAAAATAAGTTAAAAGCTACTTCCTAGCAGTAGATATGGGCTTAATCTAAGTCAGAACCCCCAACGTCCAGCTGCTTGTATTTATATGAACAGATTGAAAATGTTCCCAGTCCTAAAATAGCTCAACTTCACTAGGACTTCACCATGTTCCACTAAAGAAAAACAATCTCCCAATGCTGCTGTTAGGATGGAGTCATCACCTATCAATTCAAACCTATCATCCCTTCCTATGTAACAATGATCTGGCTGCTCAGGAATCCTAATTTTATCTCACAGGTCCAACAGCTAAAACAAAAATCCTTACTTCACATGAATACTGAGCATAGGGAAACTAGAAAGCCGGGCCCTTGCTTCCCAAGATGGTTGTGGATTGTTTCAGCCTCTGGAGTATTTCCTTTCTACCTAGAAGAAAAGTCTGCCATATTTGCTTTTCTTAAAAGATGTGTATCTTCCTAAAATTGATAGCAGGAAACCTTTAATGAAGACTACTTATCCAGCTTTAATATTTGTTAATTGGGTTTCTGGCTACAGCTAAAGCACAGCACAGCAGGCTTACACATTTTAAATTCCTGCATAGACTTTGTAAGAATCACATGGAGGGCTGCTGCTCATTCTTCCTTTTAAAACCACCTTTAATCTTTGCAGTATCCTTTTAGGGCCTGGCAAGGGAATGGGGATAGCCCAGAGACCAAATTTCTCATTAGCCCAACTTAGCATATTTCCATTTTACAGCAAAAGAAAGCTTACCTAAAGGAGTTCTGCGACACATTCATCACCACAACCACTTGATCTAAGGCCCAGAACATTCTATAGCAACATCTTTTAATGACCACTTAATTAAGGACAGTATCAGGTTAGGTGTAAGACTTAATCCAAGTTTCTCTGACACGCACTTCTCAGTATTCTTCTACAAGACATGACAGTTGCAGATGAGTTGACAATGATGAGTTAAAGTACTGAATAGGTTGGTGTACCATATTCCCACAGAAACTTACTTCAAGGACTCACCCCCCACTAACCTAAATGGCTATGGGCCACCTTCAACAACCTTAGATTAGTTGAACAAATTGTAACACAAAGTTCTCCAACAGATTTATTTTGGGGGGAAAAGGAATGGATTTTGAGGAGGAAAAACATGGAGCAGAGAGGTATGGAATAGAAAATAAATACAAATGTAAGCTGTTTTGCTAATTGTTTTATAACCACAACAAATGAGTACAGAGAATGCCCTGTACAAACACAATAATGGTTCAAGATTTCAAGATCAAGGTGTTCCTTTAGGCAAGGCTGAAGATTTCAGTCTCTGGTATTTGGAATTTAGGCTGCAATCCTTATTTTTGGATGGATCACTGGGGATGTGGTACAGTCCACTTCTAACCAGATTTGAACAGAAGAATGGCCACTTGGCCCAGGTAGAAGTAGATGAAGTGTTTGGTTTCATGTGTCACGTAACTACCGAAATTCCTCCCCACGATGCAGTGCCAGGTGGGGTTGTACTTCTTGTCAAACTCCTAAGGGGGGGAGGGGAGAGAAAAAGCACAGTAGAATTTTAGTGGTAAACCAGAGGTCAGAGTTTGCCTCCTGGATAGGCAGAGCCTGCAGGGGCAAAAAAGAGGAACGTTAGCATCTGCAAATTCTTAGAACGAAAGAATGCTCCCCAGCTCCAAGTCGCCTACATAGTGCATTAATGCAAACATACTTGCAGTCTGAGCTAAGCTGGGAACGGGCTGGGATGTAGAAGGCACAAAGGGCAGCCTCAAAGACAGGGCACTTTTGTTATCGTGGTAATACCACCTTCATAACTTCTGTAATATTCACTGATAGCCGGAGACATCAACAGATCCAGTTTATCATGTAATCTCGTGTGTAAACAGAACTAAACAATCCTACTGCATGCCATGCACCCCCAAATCCTAGAAAAGGGTAAATATTTAGCCCACAATACCCCATTATAACTCATTCCTTAACTGCACGCCAGTATCCCTTATAACAAAAGACTTCCAAAAGAACGAAGTCTCAGTTAGCATCTAAACCACTGTGGATCAAAATTTTAATTTAAGGAGACAAGACACTTGGCACTCCACTGCTCCTATAAAAAGAATGCTGGGAGTAGAATCTGACAACCACCTGGTCACATTTTGTCCTTAATTATAATTTCAATAGCCCTCCTTTTGACATGTATCTTGAGGCCGATATACTGCAGGAACACTTTTCCTCTGTTTTCCCCACTCCAAGAGATTGAGGACTAACTAGAATGCCCGTGCTCATTTTCTCACTAGGTTACCATAGACAGGGGCCACAGCTAATCCCTATCTATAAAATTATTAGAATGTGGCTTGGCTCCTCATATTGTATGCAGCATGAACATCTTTCAGATCAAAGAGAACATTCTTACAAGCTATAGGAATGCACTGCTGCGTTTGTCAAAAAAAAAAAAAGATTTATTTCATCTCAAGTCTTTCATCTTCCCATTCTCGACTGCAACCCTCTCACGACTGAGGCTGCCAGCTTCCTTCCCTTCCAGAAAGCACAGCAGGAGCAGGTGGCAGTTCTGACAGCTGTCTACATACTGTCATTTACCAAGCCCTCACCCTAGTCCCCCAACTACCACTACCACCTACTTTCTCTCAACTGGCGGCTAAACTCCCCACTGGAAGGCTGGCAAGATCCCCCTCCGGCCTGGCTGGAAACACCCACGCGCTCCTCCCTCCCGAACACCCAGATGGATCTTCGGCGCAGGAATCGTGCAGAAGGGGGAACCGCTGCTCCCCGATCGTGGAAACCGTTGCTAGGTGGCGCTTTCCCTGTCAGAACTGGGTAATAAATAAAAAAAACTTGGGGCGCCGAGATTCTGGTCTTCCCAAGAGGAGCGGAAAATTCACTTGCGTTCTTTCTGGAAACCTCTACGCCCGAGCTGCCCCGCGTGCCCTCAAGGATCTCTGCCAGGCGCTCCAGGGATGCACAATCCCGGGAAAGAAACTAAGTTGTGACTCGCCACCGGCTGAGCGCCATCAGCCCCAGCCCCCGACTAGCGCCCCGTCCTCACCTTCTTAATATGGGCCGCAATATCCTTCTCTATGTTATATTTCTCCAACGCCTGAGTAGCACATTCCACGGAGTCCTGTTGCATCTCCTCCGACATATCGGCATTTTTGATCACTGCCTTTCGGTCGCACATGGTTACCTGCGGAACGAGGGCAAGACAAGGGGTGAGGAGTTAGGGTGCAGAATGCGCCTGCAAAACGGCAGCTACCCCCCGCCCGTTCCACGCCATCCCGGGATGACGCCCCCCACACCACTTCTCAGGGAGCGCGGTCCACACGCACCCAACCGCGGGAGAAGTCCGGAGGGGGACAAAATAAGGTAGCGAAGCCTCCCCGGAGCCCCAAGACTCTCACAGTGGAGCAGGTGCTGGCCAACTGCAACGGTCTCCTGGGGGAGGGGCTGACGAAGCTCACACCCAGCGGGAGAAGCCGTCGCTACCGAAACCGTGGCGCAACTAAGGAGCACCACAGCAGACACCGCCGCCTAGTGCCTAGGCTCCGCCCTGCTCCCGAAGGCCCCGCCCCCACTCGACATTCCTATTGGCTTGATGCAACCCCTATGGCTCTCCTATTGGTCTATGGTCTCAATGGTTCCCGCAGGATCTTTCTCCTGCATTTTGTTGCAGACCACAATGCACTGCTAGTGGCGTCGGTTGCCCCGGCAATGGGCCGCACGCGGTGAGGCCCACACACCCCGAAGGTGGAGCTGAGGCGCGCTATTGAGAACAACCGAGCGTCTAGAGGGGTGCGAGGGAAGCTTCTGCGCAATCCAGAAGTGATTCCAAATTTACGGACCTTGTCCCAAGGTTTGTTCTCGAACGCTGGTTAGTCAGGTCCACCCAGGTCGGAAGGATTTACGGATTCTGACTGAGGTGGCCAGTCCCTTCAGTGAAACGGTAGCTCTGAAGTAGGGTCAGCTACCTGGGTAAATAGACGAGTGCAGTCGAGGAAGATGGAACCTGAGGGTTTGATTTAATGCTTGAATTTTTTTTCTTTTCTTTTTTTTTTTTAGCAAGGGACCTCACATTTACTTTTCGGTTTGTGTCCCGCAAATTATGGAGCCTGTCCTCCTTAGAAATATTGGGGAGAGACTCCTTAGGAAGAGGAGAGGGTTTCCTTATGAATTAAGGAATTTATTCCACCCACACTCCGCCCCTCCCCCCGCCCCGCCGCATGAATGGGGTCTTCCTGTTGGGCAATGCAGGCCTCGTTTAAGGGTGGGGGAGCACTCTGGGTGGATTTGGGTGTGTGCGCCCTGGGTGGGGCATCTTGCCCTGATGAGGCAGTCTTTCCTGTGTGGGAGTTTCTTGATTGAGGATTTATCTTTAAGGCTGAGGTGCTCTAATGATTATAAAGGCATCCGCCAGAGATATTTCCTCTGGCTTAGAGAGGCTAACCTAACCACTAAGTGGTTAAAAAAGCAAGGTCTTGGGAGGTTAGGGAGCAGGGTCAGTTCTGGATTTAAATCCCTGCACTCTCATTTACTAGCTGTTTAAATTTCAGTTTCCTTCATCTGTAAAGGGGGACAAATATAAAGAGAAAACACTTCATAGGCATGTTGGGAGTATAAAATAAAGTAATGCCTTTGAAGTTCTCAGCACAACGTGTGGTAAATAGTAAGTGCTCAGCGAATCGTATCAGAAACTATCAGTTTATGGAACTGTCCCAAGAGTCACAGCAAGGCTTTGAACCAACCCTTAAATGTCTATGTGTTTTTGAACTTCCATAGACAAGCCATCAGGTTAATTATGTAACCAGAGCTTTCTGTTTACACTTCCGCATTTTTCTTCTTGACCATCTGCTCTCATGAACCCAGAGCCCCTTTACCGTTTGACCAGACAGAGGTGCACAACTCCAAAGAGAAAGAAGTGGGAATAATGAGCACCTCAGGTACAACATATATATATATATCAATTAAATTATTAAGAGGCTTTCCCCAGCTCCGTGTTTCCAATACTCAGATTATTGGTTTGAAGAGTTAAAATAGTTCTATACAGAATCACTCCTGAGGAAGAAGTTGGGAGTGAAGCTGGGTTAGTGCTTCTACATTACTTGGGCATGTGACTCTGAGCTATGGAATCTAATGACACCAGAACCCGGAATCCCTCTTGGGGGCCTTTACTTTCCATACACATACACGCACACACGCATATCATAGGCAGAGTAAAGTGGATGAGGTAATAAGAACAGCAGCTGCTTATTGAGTGGTTGCTTACCACCAAGTGTTTGCACTCTGTTATTCCTCGCAACAGCTGTGCCTTGGACCCCTTTCCTCCTCTCTCCCTCCTGGCATAGCTGTCTGCTTGCCATGAGGTGCTGTGAGGGTGGCGCACCTGCACCCAGATTGGGTACCATCCCCACCTTCAATATCTTGCCTTACACATCTCTTCCATTTGGCTGTTAGTGAGTTGTATCCTTTGTAATAAATCTGTGATAGTAAGTAGAATACTGTCCTGTGAGTCATTCTAGAGAACTATCGAACCTGAGGAAGCAGTTATGGGAACCCCCAAATTTGTAGTCAGCTGGATGAAGTGAGGGTAGCTGAGGACCCCATTTGCATCAGAAGTGTGGACAGTCTTGCGGGACTGAACCCTTAGCCTGTGGGGTCTGCGCTAACTCTGGGAGTCAGTATCAGAACTGAGTTGAATTGTTGGACACCGAGCTGATGTTGGAGAATTGGTTGAAAGATATGTGCTTGGTGGTAGGGAAAAAAAACAACACAGTATCAGAAGAGGTGTCAGAAAAAACCCACATAGGTGAAGGGACCTGCCCTTGATTACTCAGTGAGTTATGGAGCCAGCTCTATGAGATCCTGGTCTGACTCCAAACTTGTGCTCTTCCCATCACACCGGACAGGTTGGCTTATCTTTTGGTGCTGGGGATTTCATGCTTTCTGGGAGGGAATGGAGCATGGCCTGTTTGCCACTTGGCATATGTTGTTTGCTGAATGAATGCTAAATAAATGAATTGTTAGAGCACCAAAATGCCTGCACTTAGAGCTGCATGAAAGCTATCTCTGGTGTAGTTTTGATAGGCAGTAGGGAGGATTCAGCTCATCACAGGCACTAGAGGGATTCCAGAGGAAGGGGAGGAAGTGGAGACTCAACAGAATTCTTGGTTGATCAGAACCATTCCATCAGATTTAGAGAGCCTCTGAATAGGTCATTTCCAGAGTCCTTTGGAGGTTCACATGAGATCCAGGATGAGTCCACCAAGTAGAAACCACCAGAGAATTTTCTAAATCATTCTCATGACTTTTGCCATACCTGCACCCTACCTCTACTATTATTTATTCAATGTTTTTCTTTAATTAAAGTCACTTTACTTTTAAAAATAAGTGTAGTTTTAAACGCAAATTTCTATCATCACCATAAATGGAAAACCAGTCTCATTTGTCATAAACAGAAGGTAACTATAAAATATAAATATTAGAATATGAAACATTTTGTTCTCATGTTGCTAAATTGATCTTGGACACCACTAGTGACATGTGTCCCACATTTGGGAAATGCTGCCCTATAGGAGGGTTCTTAAAGGGGGTCCACAGATGGATTTCAGAAGTTTCACAACCCCCTGGAATTATGTGCAAAGTGTATCTACAGGCATTTTCCCAGGGTGAGGATCTATAGCTTCCACCAGATGCACTAAGGGATTCAAAACCCAAGAAGGATAAAGACTAATTGACCTAGAATAAACCAAACTCCTGGAATGAATGTAAGATTCCCTCACCAGGTCCAACTGAATTGGCCCAACTGGGATTCCATAGCATCACATATCTGGGCAACTCACTCTGTTCCACTCCTAGCTACTAAATTTTCTAGAAAACCCTTCTGAGCCTGAAAACATGCATCTTCTATTCAAAGTTAGAGGGAGGCAAAATTTCTGAGAGCATGGGCTTTGGAATGAGACAGATCTTGGAAAAGCCTAAGTTATTAACTCTCAGAGGGGCAGGTTCCTGATTTTTCAATGGAGATAATGCTTTCATTATGGGCTGGTAGCCAGGATTATATTAAATAGGGTATCTAAAGACCCAGCAAATGTCCAAAAAAAAAAAAAAATGGTAGTTCTTGCTACTATGTATTGCACTTTACTATGTGCCAGGCTTTGGGGGACACATTATCTCATTGATGTCTCACAACTCCATGAGGAAAATGAGGCTCAGAGATGTGAAGTTCCTTGCCTAAAGTCACACTGCTAGGAAATAATAGAGCTGGGATTTTAACTCTGGTCAGACTCTACAGTCCCACGCTGTAGATGGAAACCAAGCTGTCCTTCCTCCCAAAGAGAGCCATTTTGTGTGTCCCTGGGAACTCTAAATATCCTGGCCCCTGGCAGGGGCTCCCTAAATATATGTTGGGTAGATGGATGGATGGATGGTTAGGAAGAAACTGGGTATTTCAAAATAATTCAGCACTGTTTCCTCCCAAACTTGACCCTGAGTTGGTCCTTGACTGTGTTGAGCTTCCCTGGACAAATTACCATTGTACTTTAGCCAACATATTTTCCCAAGGCCTTAAGAAAGCCCTTTGGGGCTGTCAATAAGCAGGGTGAGGCATTCCTTGCAGGACTTGGGTCTGTACCCTCCCGCAAACAGGCTAGGAAGCATCACAGCCTGCTCCACCTCAACCCCGCCACCAGCTCAGGATCGCACTGTTCCCAGCCCTGGCCAGTGATCACTTTTCAAGATTTTCTGGGACCTCAAGTCCTTTCTTGGACCAGGAGTCTGTCACCAACCCAGGAGCTCCAACCCTCCCTCACCTGGAAGGAAGTGAGATGGGACCTGGCAGCCCCCAGAGTTGACTCAAAGGCCCCTGCACGGAAAGGAGGGGCTCCATGGGAGAGTGCTCCTAGGTCTGAACAGAGGCATCCTCCCTAGGGAGAAGGACTGGCACGAGCCTGGGGCTGGCAGGAGAACTGAGCTTACGAGCCAAGTACTGTGCTGCAGTGCAGGGGCAGTGAGGTCAGGCAGGCAGGGACAATTCGGGGAAGAAAATCTCCCTTCTGGCCAATAGCCAAGCCTCATCTTCATACACAGATACCTTTGGAGGCTCAGTGCTCAGCCTCCTATCCATGGAGGTAATAAATCCAGGCACATCCAGAGAGGCCTAGTAGATTCCCCTCAGTGGGCAGACCAATCCAG